TCTCTGCTGCATTGGTATTGAAGACCACAAAGTTAATTACCTATGGTTGTCAAGTTTTGTCAAACAGAATGGTTTGCATGTAAAGGAATAGTGGCTGACATGGACTGCATTTCTGAACTTTCCCCATAAAATTTTGTCAACTTTTGCAAAGAGCTGATTTCTAAAACCTTATTGCAAACCTACGAGTAGTTACACACTTCATCTCCTAAAAGTGCTCTTTTGTCATGAACATTAGCCAAAAGATCTCATTTACAAAGGCTAAAATACTGGGAAAGACAAATGTGCTTTATTTTGACATTCCTTTGGGATGTATAAAGTACCTATTGAAATTGCTGCACTCTCCCTCAGGATGCACTCCTGATCAGAGCACCCATGTGATACCGTTATCTTGGCTGTCTGAAATGTAATAACTAATTTGACAACAGGAGACCAAGCAGCTCGGCAGGATTAAACTCTGGAGTATAGTATTTGCAGAAATGCCCAGTAGTATAAAAAAACTGTTTGACTGGGTTTTCCAGGAAAGAAGGAAGGCACAAGCTGAACGAGAGAACAAGAGAGTGGAGCTAAAGAAAGAGAAAGTCCGACTTGCCATACAAAAGGTAATTACAGTGCCATGTAAATGTAAAATTATTTAAGATATTTTGTCAAAAAAAAAATAGGAAAACATAAAATATCTGCAGTGTCATAATAGAACAAAATGACCCTTCTTTTTACATACAGGCAGTTAAAGTGTCTTTGTTTACTATATTCTGATCACTAGAATCTATTCATGTTGTCATTGTAGCTGATGCCATTGCTGTCACACCATACAGCAGTCTCTTTTGTGCTATAACTGCCAGATTCTATATCTGTTTTATTTGAAGTCTACTTGTAGGTTTGGTATTTTTAAATACAGGTCAAGATTAACATAATCTGGCTATTTTTACAAAACAATATCATTTCACTGTTTGATGTATTTTCTATACCTGCAAGTATTTCTTTATTTTTCACCATAACTTTAAAATTAGCATTCTGTTTTAATAGTTGAAATTTGCTGCAATGTTCCTTTTGGCTGAAATACAGTACATCATGTACTCTAGTAAGTCTAACTGAGTTAGTCAACTGGTTATGTTGTGAAAATGTCACTTTTCTTGGAATCTTTAACAATGTCTTCCTGAACACCATTCTTCACAAGTTTTGAATCAAAGGGACCAAAAATTATTATAATGCATGAGAATCCATAAAGCCTAGGTCCCAACCGAATGTACGGGCTGCTACGTGTGGTCTACGGCCAAAAAAATGGGGAAAACGTGGGAGTTCGTGCGTGAGGAGCACGTCCATCGTGCGACTTTTGGGAGGACACAAACAGCACGTAGAAACTTTTAGACATGATCAACAGCCGCGACGTGCGATCTAGCTACGTCCTAGCCAGACGCAAGGAACCTAAAAACCGTGCGTCCTAAACGTAGTTAGGACCTAGGCTTAACTTGTTAATAATAAGTTTTAGAAAGGTCTTCTCATACTGTTGCTGTTAAACAAAGACCACATGTATCCGTAAGTAGTACATTTCAGTTGCATGAACACTTCTCTGCAGTGACAAATCAACCAGTGCTAATTTGATGTCCAGTACCCTGTTTATAAGAGAACTTCTTCTGGCCTCTTTAATATCAATTCTATGTGTTTGTATGAGAAAAGTCATCCAGACACTCAGGGTGCTGGACTCCTCACAGGTCATACAATGTCATCTGAGCTGACACTGGACACAAGCTTGCATGTTGTGGACATCAACTGTGATATATGTCTTAGCTATATTATTATTATTATGTCTCGGCTATATTATCATTAAGTAAGTATTTCTTTTCACCAGCTGTCCATTCATTCTTTAACTAAAAAATTTATTAGTCAGAAGAAGCAGAATGCCAGAGTAAGAGCCCAGTCAAGGAGGGCACACAGGTCACTGCTCCAGGCATATTGAAATCTATGGCAATTATATAATGGGTGCTCTCTAGATTGTTTTCATCATGTACAACATACCTGTAACTGTGTGACCCAGGGCCATTATCTACTAATTAGTTGGTCACAGTCTGTCCCATGCTAAGACTATCAAAATTAGGCTGAGAATCACCACTTGTTCCCAAAATTTAGGGTGTTTTTTTTTACTTTCAGCACAAATTATTCAAAGCCTCAAGTAGCTCAGAGGGTACAGGGGGATTTCAGGAAAAACTCCAGGTTGAACAGGACAAGGTGAAAAAATTGGAGGCAGTTGCAGCCAGGTATTTGTTTGGTTTCATTAGGAGCAGGTGTCTGTATACTAGTATTTATGAAAGTAAATAGTGGGAAATTCCATTACACCATGCGTGTACAGGCCTATCTCCATACAAATATAAATGTTTACACTAATATGTTTGCCTGAATAGAAATAAAAATGTACTCACAGCTATCACAGATAGTTGCAGTAGATAGCTATGATCATATCAGTTCAGTCAGAGACATTGACAGCCAGTGATTCATTCTTTGCAATCATACTACAGATTGTGGAAAGCAGGTTGAGAAGGTTTATATTTATTCAGACATTCTGCCGAGCTAATTATGTCTACCATAACTATAGGTATTATTGATTTAATCAATGCAGAAATCAATAGCAAGGCAACAAAGTGTTTTTTCTTCATTACTGGTGTGAAATCAATATCATCTTTTGTTAAGCAGTTATACCCTTCCATGTGGTCTTAACTGCTCGTGCTAGAGTTAACTGCTCGTGTAGAGTAAATACACATGGTACTGCTTTTAAATGTTAGAAGACAAAATGTGGCACTTTGCAATTTTTTGTTGGGGGGGGGGGGGATAGTAGGTATTGTTTTTGTTAAATAGCAAAATTTTGACTTTTATTCTCCGGGTAGTTATCGTATCTTGAATGTATGTAAAATCTCAAACATGAACCTAAAAAAATCAATTCAAACTGTTTAGAAACATTATTTATAGCAATTGTGATGACCTCATCACTTCACTTACTTTTTTAGATTAAAGAAGGAACATGAGAAGGTTCGACAGCAAACAGTGAAGATAATCTTAGATGAGCAGAAACTGTCAGCAGAAGTAAACAAGCAGGAAGCAGAGGCCAAGCGAGTCAGACAGGTGAGCTAGCTGTTTTAATAAACTGAAACAATAGCTGCATGGACTTCTTAGTGTAATACTCTATTATTAGTGTTAGACAGCTTAGCTGGCTTTTATGAAATATTGCAGTTAAAAAATTAGACATCTTGTTATGATACTGAATCACAGTGTAGTGAAGGGACATTATGGGGGTTACCGTTTTATCTTAATTCTCCCTTAGTTCTTTATACATGCACACTTTAGCTTGTGCTTATTATGTAAGGAGTACATGTATATTATTCAGAACATAATAAGAATAGTGGTGATGATTTATCATCCAAAACACATACTAAATCAAAATCAATTGTTTTCAGACACTCAGTATAAGTATGTGGTTCTTGATCAAAGTGAATTTACAAAGGAGAAATAGAGCATTTTCTCAGGGACCTGTATATATGTCTCATTTATACTGAACAAAAATATAAACGCACGAAACTAAAACGGTCAGTTGAAATGGATAATCATTAAATATGCCCAGGTTGATGGTTTATTTGTGAACTGATGGATTTGTTTTGATCAAGTATGGTGGTCAGGGTTTCACTTGGCCGCTCCCCGTGAGTATACTCAAAGGTTCAGTTTTTCCACCCATAAGACTAATGGAGCATGACGGAGTGGAGGTCAATCTGCAGGACCAATACACAGACACTCTCTACAGTCTAGGCAATAAAAGGACACACTAAAATGTGTATTTCTGTCACTTGTCAACATGCCACAGACGTCTGGAATCATGAGGGAGCATGCCATTGGCATGCTCAATACTGGCTTGTCAGTAACAGAAGTTGCAGTATGCCTGAATGTGCATCATTCCTCTGTCAGCCATCTGAGAACACACTTCAGAGACACTGGTAGCATTAGGAACCACCCTCATGCACCATGTCACCCAACAAACACCTGTAGAATGTTCTGGATCTGAGTTTTCAGCCATCATGTTCCAGCTCTCGAAAATGTTCACCAACTGCAAGAAGCACTCCAGGAGAAATGGGATAATATCCCTTAGGCCTCTATTGACAACTTAGTGATGTCCATGCGCCGCTGGTGTACTGCTCTGCACAAATTTAATGGTGTCTGTGAACTCAGGATGTTGACCCCCATGGTGTATTTGATGCCCTAACTCTTGGACTAAGCATTTAAACTTCCCCTAATGCTCTCAAAGTGATGTCTATTTGCCAAGAAAAATATGCTGTTATTTTTGGCTATATACTCTAGTTCCATATATGCGTTTATATTTTTGTTCAGTATAATTGTCTAGTAATTAAATGTATGATAATGGGCTAGACTGTCGCCTGAGGTCAGCAAAGGATTAAAGCCTCTGGTAACACAACTAAAAGCAGACAGCCTCGAGATGTTTATTGACTAATTAAAAAAAATGAAATGTGTTAGGTGAGACTTTTGTAATTCAACATGTTCTGCTTCACATTAACATGTTAGAAATATGCCATACATTTGTTCTGTATTATATAATACCACCAACAGTGATTGTTTTGGGAAAAACTGGTGAGATAAGAAAACAGCTTCAGTAAATTGAATATGATGCAGTGAGACAAGTCCAAGGCAATGGTTTTATTTATAAAGATGATTATATTTCAGGATGGCTCTGAGGAAGACAGCTCTTCTTATAAACCAGAGCCTAATGAAAAAGGATATCGTTACAATTGGGCTGTATCTCACATTAGACCTAAGTTGAAACTTGTTCTCAGCTTTGAAATTGAAAGTAGAACTTTGATTTGTTTCACGCCGTCTGTAGAGGAAGTAACTGCATGGTCAATAACCATAACTTGTTTTAAAAGTAAATATCAATTTTTAAGTGAACTGCTTCTAATTTATTTTTTACAAAAATACACAAAACATTGAAATTTTTTCTGATCTTCACCCTGGCCAGCAACATAACATGTTATTAGCCGAGTCATCAAGCTGTTTGTCAGACATATTGCAAATATTTCCTGCCAATTTTCTGGAAAGTAATAACATATCGGCAACCATCCATAGGTCTGTTGTCACTTCCAGTTGTCTTGTAATGTAATTGAGCACAAGCCGAGAGATATATGTATATATACTGCCATGATTGGATGTCAATTTGGCAGTCATTTGGGGCATGTATTAATCTAGTGAGATTTCTGTTGTTCAGCTTGTGTTGATTGGGATTTGGAATTGATTTGTTCTAAATTGGTTTTCAAATGTCAAAACACCAAATAATCAACAGTAAGTTTAGTCAAGAAGAAAAAATTCGAGTGCAGTTTGTCATTGTTAAGAGAACTTGATTTAGGTACACAAGCCAGAACCTAGTTTTTAATAGTGTATAATGGGCACCTAACCAGTTACAGTGTAGAATAGGATATCAGCCCCTAACAGTGTATCTAGAACTCCAACTAGATTTATTTGTTTGGCGTCAGTAATGTCATTTATTTGTTTCTTTTGTACCTCATATGATTTTTGGAGTGAGATATGCATGGCAATCTACCATGCTAAGTCTAGGGTAAAAGGTTTCTGGATTTTAGTTTTATAATTAAATACCGAAAAACATTCCTAAGGTTAACACTTAATCTTCTGTTCCAGTGAAATTACTTGCTTTTCATAACCTGCAGACATTACTTTTGCCATTGCAGATGCTATCTTTGTCCAAGGAGCACAAAGTTGTTCATGACCTTGACCCCTTCCACCAATTGTATGAGCAAAGGAAAGGTGAGGTCCAAAGAGAACTTACATGTATTTCACAATATTGTACTCTTCATTTTATCACAGCGACATAGAAAAAAAGTGTAACTCTATATAAAGAAACCCAACAGATATTATCATAACATTTTGCTTATGATAACACCTATTAGAGTATTTTGATAAAACAGTTAACAAGTAGATGGTGCAAAAGGTATTTTCATGATTTCCCCATGCTTTTATTTTATCTTTGAAGCAAAAGAAAATGTCTTAGTACTTGCTGCAATATGAAACAAATGGAAAAGAGCCTTTGCATTCGGCTTACTTTTGATTGTCACAGAATGAAGGATTGATCACATTAAACAATTGTGCTTTCTATTACTTTGCAGAAGCAAAAGAAAATGGAACGGAACTCCCTGTCAGTGAAAGGAAAGTGGAGATCCCCTTTGTTTTTGATCCTTTCGACAAAGTCAGTTTTGAAAAGCCCAGAATAAAAGGAGAAGATATTTTCAACCTGCGCAAACAAGCAGAAGCAGAGGAAACATGGGGCGGCGCAAGCAAAGCACAAGTGTGCAATGATTATGGTTTTGATGACAATTTTGTGAATACGTGGGCTCCTAGAGAGGCTCTAACTACACCAGATGATGTGTTTGGGGAAGAGGACACTGTGTTTAAAACAGTGCCAGGTTTGTTGAAAATCAAAAATGCTCTTTGCCAGGCAGATAAAAATTTTGTCTAACCATTTGCTGTATAACTTTGGCCTGGTGTGGTTTTCAGATTAGTAAAATATTTTTTTAGAATTAAAATAAGATACACCAAGAGTGGAAAACTATAAATATTGTTATTTGTGGTAACTTATAGTTTTGAAACCTCTGGACAGGTTAGTTGTTGTTCTTGAAACCGACAAGAGATGTGCAGCATTTATATTGGATTGAGTTATATTTCTGGATGTAGGAGAAAAAAAAACACTGTGAAACTTTCTAGTTTATTTAGTACATCTGCAGTTAAAGTGTGTATTTTCAGTGTCTCTGGATGAGGATGAACTGTGGTGTTCCATTCCTGACCTGACTGGGGAGGAAGTGCAATCACTCAACCAGCAGTGGGACAGTGTCAAAACACAGGAGGAGGCTCTCCAGCAGGGAGGAGACCAGCTAGTCTTTGTAAGTTGCTTGTGTACTCCAGTATGATGTTAGGTGCTATGTTTTTTATATCTGTCTGTCTGTCTGTCTGTCCGTCTGTCTGTCTGTCTGTCTGATGACTCAAAGCTGTCAGGTCATCTTATCTCACAATTGCCAGTCAGTTCCATTGGGACTCTTCAATAAGATAATTCTGATAGGCATTGGAAGATTTTTTATTGTCAAAATTAAGCAAGTTAATATGTTTGTGATTGTGGCATTGTGCAAAATATGTTGGGTTGAAAAAACATGTTTTATTACCAAACATAATTTTTTAGGTTTTGACTCAATAGTTAGTAAAACATTTGCAGTTCAGTAGTACAGAAGTTCCATCTATCTGATATTAATTTCCTGTCCCTTCTTACGCAGTTTGATGCATCACTGTTTTTTCTTTTGACTACATTTGGAATTTATAGAACTGTTTCATTTAGCTTCACACTGTGTCACTGTCATGGTAAGATTGATCAAAACATTGACTTTTGCAAATCTCAAGTATGAAAACCGGTCATATTGCATTATTGTAATGGGAATGTGTAGAGTATATATTTTTCAACAAAACTATATTTTATTAGCTTCAAGTGACAATTCATTAATGGCAAATTTTTGTTCAACTTTGTGTTTTTTTTTAAATGAATATGAAGCTAAGCTGAATTTGCCATTTACATGAAAGTAATGTTTTGATAAAGTTTGGATATGTCGTTTAGTTTTTCATACTGTTGCAAGAAAACATTCATATAGTTGCAAGAAAACATCTAGTGTAAAAAGTTCTGTAGCACTATACCATTTTTTTACCGACATTCTGTGTTTCTCAACATATTGTAATCTATCATCTGTGCCTGACATCACAGTGGCCATATTTTTATTGAAGTTGTGAAGTTATGAAGTTTTTCACAAAGTAGCACTTACGAGGCTTTGATTTCCCATTGGTCTTAAGCCCTGTGCAAGTTGCATTTGCTGAATGTCCATAGCCACAGTAGTACATGATCAAAAATTGATGGTGATTGTGCCGTTAAGCATTAAATAAAATAAGATTAAAATTTTTATAGTTTCATTATTGACAAAAACATATTTTGTGTACTATCGTCTTAAACACCATAGAAGGAAAATCATATTCATTTTAAAATTTACCTAAATGATTCATAGGATTAAAATACAGCTCAATGCAGCTTAAAAAACCAGACTAATCAGATTAGTTACTTAACATTCATTGCATGTCTACTCTGGGTATTAATAGTGTACTTAGAACATAGTTTTTCACTGAACATATTTACTACTAACTTAAAGACCATTTGAATGAAATTCTTGTGATAAATATCACTATCTGTTTGAAGTACCACCTATTAAAGGATTATTTTATGTAAATTGACTGTGAGTCATTTCATGCAGCTGCCAGAGGCAATTTGAAAAAAATATATAGAATCCAATACACTTTTAACAAATACCCATGCAATTATTTTTTACAATAGAAACCTTTGATTTTTCTCAGTGACAGGGTTTAAGCTATCAAACTTGTCTGTTTGTAAATTTATCAAGCAACTAAATAATATCTTAAGACTTTGGGCCAATTTAATAATACATAATTATAGAAAAGTTCAGTATTTATGTAAAATTTCCCTAAGCTAAACTGCATGGGTTTGATTCATTGGCTCATGTCCTGCATTCAAGGCACCTAGGGTGGAAAATAATTGACTTTGGGGCCATGCTATATAGTGCTGCTATCTGTTGGCCAACTAAAATCCCCATTTTCAATACAATCAATACTTAGTGTTGATTTTAGTTCCCAGATCATAATTGCTCACATGCATGAATGGGCATCTTGTTTGGTTAGGCATACTTATCATGTGAGCACACCTATTTGTGCTAAAGGAAGGTTCAACAGCAACTTTTATTATATTATGGAAAGTATAAAATAGGGACATTATAAACTTAACTGTACACGATTGAAGAATTATCAAAGGATGTTAACATTTGGGTGAGGCTTGAATCAGTGAGGCAGGGTCATGGATAGCAGTTCACTGTAGTGAAGAGGTAAGCTGGAATTGCAAGAATAATTTCATTTCTTTGTCTGAATTGAGACATGGGATAAATTTTTGTGTTCATACTTTAATTTTCAAGCTAGGTTCAAGCTTAGGTGGGAGTTTAGGAATGCACCCAGGGTAATTTAAGGCAACTGTGAGACAGAGTATGCACCTGTATTTTAGACACATTGTAAACATTTAAGTCTCTCTTTTTCCTTTGGTTAAGATCTATATAAACATGTTAAATTAACATTACTGATGTAAAGTGTTTAAGAAATGGGCATGAGTTAATGTTGCATGAATGGCAGTATCCTACACATATATTAAACATACACTTTGACATCAAGGCGTGGGTACCAGTAGACCTCATTAAGTAAAAGCTTACCTTCCTGTATTGATTAGATATTTCTTTATATAAACAGATTGGGTAAGTAACATTGGAATGTCTCCGCATGTCAACTCAGGTACTTAATAGTATTGTAAGTCTTTTATGCTAATCAATCTGTATGGACTTGTTTGGAGACTTAGTTTAAGGCTTAAAATGATAAGGACTGTTTATCAAATTTTCAAAACCCATATAGATTTAGGTGTCGACTGTGTGACTTCATGATAAATTTCATTATAAAAGTCAAAGTATGATGCTTTTAAAGAGTGCTAAAAATCCGATGATGCTTGAAGCAGTGTTTGAATCATGAGAATGCTTTTGTAATAGAACTATGAATTGCTGTTGAGAACTGATAATATTCAACTTTATTTGAAAAAGGTTGTGCACTGAAGTTTAAGGAAATGGAGACCATGCAGAATATGTGTTCTCAATATTTTGCTTTTTATTTTTCCTACAATGAAAATACATTTGAAATTAGGCCATGTTGTAGGTCATTCTAAATTCAAAATACCATAAATTACATATTTTCTTCTTGTATAAACATGCACAGTTACTGGTATGCCAAATTCAATACTTGGGCCTTTACTGATAAAGCCAGCATCATTCATTTATTATTTAGTAATTCCACAATTTATTACACAGGTACATTATAAGTCAAAACATTTTGCTACCTTTGTTGTTGTACACTTTTTGGCAAAAGTAATCAGAAGATTAAGGGGGGGTCAGGCTGTTCTTAAGAAATCAGATTATATTTGATTTGGTTTTCTGCTTTCATTGCTTTACCAATGCTATATGATTAAACACTTACAAAATAGCAAGATGGGAACTTAAATTTACACAGTTTTTTTTTTTTTTTTTTTGGTTTGAGCTGCTTCTTTACAATACAATAAAGTAAATGAGGCTTGAGATTCAATATAAGGTTTTGAGTGCTTTGTTAGGTTTTAAAAAAGAGTATTCTAAAAAAAACTGATATAATGAGTAATAATATGGATTGAGTAACTACCCCTGGATATTGAGCTGACGCTTTGTCTCATCTATTTTAGATGATTATCTGTGATTTGGTTGTCATTGAAAGCCATTTTATGTCTTAGTGACTTCCTCTATTTTTTAAACAGCTGAAGGGCCTGAGATAGAAGAACGTAGGCACGTAATGACTTTTTAAAACATATAAATGCTCCATGCATCAGCAAAGGTTATCTTGTTGTATTTTTTTTCCTCAAAAAAGTCGTTCAGCCATTATGCTTTGTAAGGTCAGAGAAGATGAGAAAGTAAATAGGTCTGGCGTGATTTTTTTTTTAATAAAGCTGAAAAGGTTGTAAAAGCAAAGTCCAATTTATGAAATAGAGAAAGACAATTTTGAAAAATTAGGTGGTCAGGATATTTCCTTTATTAAAATATCGTACCCAAAATTGGATTCTTAAACAACAATTTCCAAGCATAAGTTGAATCTTGATAAAGTGGCAGACTGAAAAGCTTATCTAGATGAAGCAATGGTTACAAGTAGGAGTGTAGAAAGCCTTGACTAGTAAGATCATACATGAGTTTGTTATGCAGAGGGCCATCCATATTACCAGCACACTAGAGCTGACAGGGAAGTAACCCAGTGAGTCTTTGATACTGTGAAATAAACTTTTTGTATACAAGAATGGTTTTGACTAGCTTTGTGAAATATAAGAATATTTAAAGGATTGTGTTACATTGTTATGTAGAGTTTAGTTTAAGAGCTGTATACATCAGATAAATACTGAAGTCAACACCATTGGGTAAGTTTCGTATAGACAATTAATATTTAAACAATGCTTTTTGGAGTATTTGGCGGTTTTAAAAGTTAGCTAATCAGTGATGTGTGAAGAGGTACACCTCTATGTGAAAGGAAGGTCAGTTTTCCAATGACCTGTTGTCCAGCTATATAGCCTTCTTTGAGACCTACTGGATAAATGTAGTCTTCCGTAAAAGGCACAGTTCATTTAGAGGTAAAGTTGCTAAAGATGGTGCACATTTGGCATTTGCAAGTAGTTATATTAGAATATTTACAACAGAGAAATAAATGTGGACTTCATTATGTGGATAAAAGGTTGAAATAATATGTAAACTATGTAATGTCCAGAGACATTAGCCAGAACAGTATGTTACAAAGAAATGATAGATTTTATTACTTACCATCTACCTTTACCTTGCATGTCAGATATTTGGCATGGCTCTTGTGCTCAGTCTTCTAATGATTTGTAATAAATGCTCATTAATGGCACACAATCTTGTTCAAAATAAGAAACAAATAGCGGAAAATAAAGAATATTTATGAGTAAATCTGCACAACATTCTGATTATATTAGCCTTCTATTTGGTCAAGTCATAGACAGGTAAGGAAGTTTGGACTTGAGCACAGAATGTTCTAGGTGCATGACATCCATCTTGCAAGTACATTTGTCAAACAAGGACCTATTCTGGTCACCACTGCTAAAAATAACTAGAAAAGAGTTGGGTATTTGGTCAGCAAACCTGAAGGAACACCTTGATAAGCAGTTTTGTGAACACCTGGAATTGGAAACCTGTCTGACTAGTTATTCAAAGCATTATCCTTGGTTTGGGACACATTCTGAACAACACTCCTATACTTCATGTTGAGCCTGTCCCAGTAAAAGATAAACCAGAAATATGTCATTCTGGTTGTACTTCAAAAAAAAAAATTAATCAGTATTAGAAATTAATCTAGCCAAATTAACATAGCCAAGAGTCTTATAATATGATTATGGTGACAGACATGATTGGCAATAATTTCCATGTGCAGGACTCCATGATATCACTATTTTCCATAATCTGAAAGAGAGCGAGAGCAATATTTAACAAAATCTTTACAAAAAAAAATTATTTAATTTTTAAAAAAATGCCCAGCACACCCCAGGAAACACTTGCAAGCCCCTTGAAGATGACTAAGGCAACCATGAGCATCTGAGAGGTGACCGGAAAGATGACTGACCAGTTCACCTGTAGTTAACACCTGTGAGAAAACAGGAAAACTAACCAAAGTTATGGAAGGCACTATTAATTTGTGCAACCAATTAATTTATTACTAAAGACATGAGTTGAATTTTTGGTAGTGACGCATAAAGGGGAACTTAATAAAATGAAAAGATTTGGAAGTCCTTTCATTATAAGTTGGACATTCAGCCAGAATAAGGCAAGGTATGTACAACACAGTCAGTAGTAGGTGATACTGTACTGCTCTCAAGTTAGAAAAGTTTTAGTGATTTTGTAGACTGTTTATAATGTTGATTTAAAGGGGATTCATTTTTGGTTGTACTTTCAAGTTTAAACTTTTTTCTTTTTTTCTAGTTGTATCACCTTTAATTTTAATTTTTATTTTCAACTAAGTATCTTAATATTTTTCTGCAAATTAGTTGTTTCAGAGGCTGTTTGTAACCTTATAATTTATTTTTTTTCTTTTTTAACGCTTGCACAATTTTCTTTGTATTTAAATGCACATTATACATTTATAGCTGCTGTTAACAGTAGAAATTTTATAGTAACCATTTAAAGCATATAATCTGAATGGCAGCAACTTGAAAGAGAATGTCACTAAAGCCCCATTTAATGTGCATTTATCTCTTAAACTTTATATCCACAAAAGTTAACCCAGACTAGTGACAGTGTTTAAGTATATTATGTAAAATAAACTGAGATGATATCATTAGACAGGCTGCAGGTCGGAGGCAGGTTATAGCTACATGTGGAGTACTGCAAGTGAAGGTAATACAAATTTAATGTGCACAGCATGGGTAGAGGCTTGCATTAGAACCCCTTTATTTTTCATCGGTGATAATGTGTTATTATGCATTGAATGATATCAGTGAATTGGCTTAAATGATCATGATGCGTGTTTTGTTTTTTGATATGAGTAATGATAGCCTTCACATGGACTATACACCAATCATAAGTTACTTTGCCCAATTTGTAGCAGACACCTGTAGTTGATGGTTATTTAGTGTAGCTTTTTTATGTAATTTATACTTCTGATTGTATGGCATGATATTATCAGATCTGGCAGTGTAAATTGTTAAGAAGTAGTTTTCAAAAAATATGTTTATGTTAAGACTAACAGAAAATAACTGAGTAGTTTTGAATTATTTTGAAAGTAGGATATTGTATTTTTAAAAATGTTATGACCTAAAAGCACAAGTCAGAAGATTTTACTTGTCTTAAAATATCATCAGTTTTAATACCTTGTAGCAAAAATGAAAATGGAATGACAATTAATGCAGTAAATATGTTTTTGAAATGGTGGATGTGTAGCATTTCAACACGTTCTTCCATGCCTAAGGCAGAGGATCTTTGACCTTAAAACATTTTGTTTTAATGCATAGAAAATAGGCAGGTCTGTACTTTATGCAGAACAGTTTAACCTCAATTTACATGTAAGATTTGCATGAGTTTTATTTTTACCACAAGCGGTTCAGTTTCTGTTTTATGAACTGTATACAGGCAGAGCTGATTAATTCATAAACGAGATGGCATGCAGATTGTTGTAATTCGCTGGTTGTTTTATACACATCTGGTTAAACGACTGAACAATACTGCCTGTTGCTTTTTGTACAGTTAAGGCTCAGAAGATGTTTAGACGCAGGAAAGTTGTTCTGGGGGTATCAAAGGTTAGTTCTGAAGGAAGTTTCTTGAAAATTCTGTGCACACATCTTTATTAAGCATGCATGTATATAAAAAATAAGCATAACGTAGGCCTTAGTCTTACCATAACTATTATAATAGTGTTAAGATGAGGCTTAGGAGGAAACTTATCTTAGTCTGGGCTATATTAGGGGGTTAATTTGGTAAAAGCACATTGTCTATTTTAAGTGAGTTTAAAAAAGAAAAAAGTGTTAAGGTAATGTACACCACTTTGGCACTTTAGTCTCTGTACACCTGCAGTTCTTTTCATCAACAATAGGACAACTGAGGCGAAATCATCAACTGAAACCAGTTTTGTGGTAACAGTAGGCCACAGACCATGCTATAGCCACTTGCCGTTATGCAGTGGACCCATTAAGAGAGTAATATATATAATATGATAGATAAGGTAGTAAAAAGTTCAGCTCCTGTGCTTTTGTTGTCAGTATTACAGAATCATATAGATGTCCATTTTGATTTCAATGTTGAAGTGTCACTGTGTTGGAATAGACTTTTTCAAGTGTCTGACTCAGTGATGTATTAGAACTTAACTCAGCATCATGGTGTCTTGTATAATGTCAGTCTTGTTAAGTATTTATGTGGGGTGAGAACTACCCTGTTAGTAGGAGGCTACAAAATGTATAATAATGCCCTATCCGTCTTATTGACCTATGAAACTTGAAAAATAGACCAGTTTAAGTAATTGAATAAACAAGTTTATTCAAAGACGAGGAGAATGATAGAAAAAAGTGGATGACCTTTGAGCTTGTCTCAAGTGCTGAAACTGAAGGGATTAGGCAGATATTGCTATTCAAACTAGTTAGCATGGCAGTGTTGGTGCATTTTGTTATGCCATCATACATAACATGAAATAAATGTTGGCACTGTGGGCATAGGAAAGGCCTGTGGGTCCTTAGGTCATATATTCCTATTGTTCTGTGATCAAAGTGGGGAACTGGCCCAGTGTATGTAGCAGAGAGTGCCTAAAATGTCCATTATAAGCTAATAATATCTTAATAATCTGCTTCATATGTTTGGCTTGTTGTCATAAGTTACACTGAACTGTTTAGTGCGTAAATGTGTTTCTGAGTAATAAATCTTACCCTGTCAAAGAGAAAGTGTGATGTGTTTTACTTTTTGCCAACTCTAACAGTATGGTTGCTGAGGCTTCCATTGGAAGTTGACTAAGGTTTGGGTACCCATGTATACATAATATCTTTTCAATTATGAAATTGAAGGAAGTGTTAAGTTGAATTGTGTAGGAATGTACCAGTAATGGACTGGACTTTTTTCTTGTGGTCGCTGGTATTTTCTTTGTATTTGTATATATAATGGAAAAGTAATTTGTTGTTGACCATGGCTTCAAAAGTAATTTATATAGATAATTTTTGAATGGGACTTAAAGAAAAAAATGTTTTTTTTCAATTTTAGAAAAACCCAGCAGACTACACCACCCAGCCTGAGGAACAGGTAGAAACAAGAACCAGACCGAGCTACAACAGGAGGAGCTACGCAGGAGTAACTCCACAACGAATTCCAGGCGAGTTTGCTGACCCACTGGATAGATTTGCGAAATATAGGCGAAGATCTGCAAACATTGAAACATTGAGAAAAGAAGCAAATGACATAACTGAAACACCAGTAAGAGACCAAGACTTTAAATATAGCAGAAGGAAATTCCGATCTGAAGAAGATTTGCTATCAGATACTAAGGACACTACCCCGACTGCCAGTAGTTCAACTTTACATGTGCAGCATTTAGATTTGAATGAAGGCGCTTCAAGAAAATTGAAATCTGAAGAAAAACTAAATACCTCAGAGCGTGGAACAAGCATACTCATTAATACAGAAAAGGAAAGTGAGTCAGAGGACAGTGAAGTCATACTGAAACCTAAAGAAGCAGAATACTCAAAACCAGTTTTAAAAGAACAAATTACAATAGCAAATACATGTCAGGATTCTGTAGAGAGAAAAGAAACTGATAGCACTAATGAAAAATCTACTCCAGAAATAAAGGAATTTGTCTTGTCACAACCAGGGCAAATACCTGAAAAGATTAGTACTGCACAAAGTCAAGGAGAGGGTAATAAACCAAAACAGCAACCAATTCCAGCTCCAAGAACCAGTTTGATCTTACAGTCAAATCAAAGTGACATACAGCAGGACCAAAAGCAAAGTATTACCAAGGAGACTGAATCAGAAGTTGCACCAATCAAAATCCCTGTTGAAGAAGCACCCAAACCAAAGCCAGTTTCTACAGAACAGCAGTGGAAGAACAACAACGAGCCAGCATCACCACCAAGCCAGGGGTCTGGCAAAGAAGCCAGCAAGTCAAACGGCATTAGTTCTTCGGACTCAAGTAAACACCAGTCTCATTTGGCATCTACTCAACCTAGGAAAGCTCCTGTAAAACCTGATCGACCAAAGCGAAAGGCAAAACTACAAAAGCTGCAACAGGATAGTTTAGGCACAACTACTTTAGGTTCAACCTCTAGCTCCCCAGGCTCAACCTCCCCATCTCTCTCGCCTTCTCCATCTCCACTGTTCTTAAATAGTTCTACTTCTGATCCAATGAAAACATCACATGAAGAGAAAGAACCCAAGGGTCAATCAACCGAGGCATCAGTGACAAGTAAACCAACAACTTACCTTCATATAGTATCTCCACCAAAATTCACCAGCCCTGGAAGTGCCAGCCAGACAATATCTTGGAAATCTGTTGGCTATCTGCCCCAAACAAGTCCTACTAGAGACTTCCCTCCACCTCTTGCCCCTAATTCCACAGACACAAATGCCAAGTCATGCCAAGAAGATGAGATTATTCCACAAGTTGCAAAATCAAGGATAGAACATCCAGTCGAAATTGAAAAAGAAGTGACCAACATTGAACTTAATCCTGTAACATCTGAAGAAGAGAAAGACATGGAGAATACAAAAGCTTGCAGAGACGAATTGGCCAATCTCCGTGCCCAGTTCTTTGCTGATATGGACTCAGTTGCTGACCAGAGCTTTGATTTTGTCCCAACACTGGTCACTGCTACAGGAGGGGGAAGAGTTAGGTCCAGCGGGTCCGTGAGTGAGGAGGAAATTCAGCCAGTATCCATAAAGCGGAAAGTTTCACCAACAGGACAGAAAGATGAAGAGGAAGATAAACTTGGAGTGGAAGAGCACAGAATCTTACCTGTAATGCAAGAACATGATGCATCTCTCCCAAATCTCCATGATATGGAAGAAGGTGTTGAAGAGGATCAGATACAATCAGAAGTAGCTCAGAGGAGAGACATATCCCATATGGAACAGGTTGGTGACATAGTGCTACTCCCAGTGGAACATGTTGTCTTAAATGAAGCAGCACCTAGCCATGGACAGAATGGGCTGACTGAACCCCAGGAGCTTCAAGGGTACAGCTTGGATGGGAGCATTGATGATGTAAAAGAGGACTTCCCTGTTGCCAGAAGTCATAGCCCTGTTTCCATAGAAGAGGAACCCATATCTCCCATAGCTCTGGTAAAGAAAGATCCCACCATATTTATAGACAATACATTGAATTTCATTGTGAATGACAGTGGGAATGATCACAGTGATAGGTCAGTGGCTGTTGTGGAAGAAAACAAACAAGCAGGTATTGAAATGCTTGCAGAACTTGTTGCAGATGATGCCTATGCCAGGGCTGTTATTCAGAATGGTGGAATTCACAGCTCTAATGGAAAAGATGATATAACTGAAGATGATGGAGTAAAGGAAGACCACATTATTAAAGAGGTCAAAAGTGAAGTGAAGCCAGATATCAATTTCCCTGTTGAAACAGGCATACCAGTATCTGATGGCAGTGAGATTGAACAAGATGAAACTGAAGATGGGACAGCAGTGCACATCTCCAGGGAATATTTCCCAGAAAATCAGTGCAAGTCTGTCCCAGATCTAACAGAATTAGATGAGCCAGAAGAAATCGGTGAGAAAACTCTCACAGAATCTCAAGACTTTCAGCAGTCTCAGCAGAAGTCAAGTGAATATTTCCCAGAAAACCAGTGCAAGTCTGTCCCAGATCTAACAGCACTCGATCAGACAAATGTTGTGCTCACTTCCACTGGGGATGTAATATCTGGACGAGATGAAGTGGAACCTGCCATGGCTGATGAATATTTCCCAGAAAACCAGGGCAAGTCTGGCCCAGATCTAACAGAAATAGTTCAGACAAATGTTGTGCTCACTTCCATTGGGGAGGTGATATCTGGACATGATGAAGTTGAACCTGCCATCGCCGATGAATATTTCCCAGAAAACCAGTGCAAGTCTGTGCCGGACCTAACAGAACTCGATAGTCCACCAGTAAAAAAAATAACTGATACACCTGAGTACTTTCCTGAGAATCAGTGTAAATCTATTCCAGATTTCCAGGCAATGGACAGTTCGCAGCAGCAGACAAGTGAGGATAATCACGGAACTGATGTCCCCACGGCAACAGGTCGAGAGGAATATTTCCCAGAAAACCAGTGCAAGTCCATTCCAGATTTGGTTGGTTTAGGTGAGATGACACAAGGAAATAATAAACCAGGTATTAATATACAAGATCGTGGCCAGAAGCCAGATGAAGTTGTCTCCCCACTGTCTCCAGTACAGCCAGCCAAGTTCACACTAGGTGGAGATGACGACAGCCCTATAATCATTCCACCTGATGTCATCAGTTTTGGCACCACACAAAGTAAAACTACGTCCACTCCTCCCAAGCCACCCCGTAATACGAAAGCTATAGATAAGGCCATGGAGATTGCCAGGGAGGTGGAACCTTCCCATGTTTTCCATAAAGAGGAGGTGGAAGTCACCTCTGGGGAAAATGAACTGGAGAAGGAAAGAAAGCAACTTATCTCACAAATGAAAGTGAGTATTGGAAGGTTGCCAGTCTGTTCTGTTTGTTGTGCTTCTACAAATACTGCCATTATCATATATCATTTAGTTTTTTAAAAAGAAGGTGATGTGAAGCATTATTTTCTTTTTGCTATTTGCATTCCTAAGCAACATTGTCAACAAAAGAATACTTTTTTGACAGGTCATTGAAAAGTTTTATTAGTCCAGTGGCTTATGCTGTTTGTTTTTTACACTTTATCAGGATTATTTAATCAACTTGGTGTTTTTAGATAAATTTCACACTGAGTTAACACTTGTTGGGTTTCATGATCAAAATAAGAATATGTGCCAAAGGTACACAAAACCCTTCATCATGGGGATATGACCTACATTAATTCACTTACATTAATTGGCATTAAATCAACATGATCAGTTTGATATAATACATTTGCTTATATTCTAAAAATAAGAATGAAATTTTCTTTTCTATACCACAGGTGAGGAGAAAGAAAGTTGCCACATGGAAAGGGGTTCCAGAGAGTCCCCCAATGCCAGCCACCAGTGGGAAACCACTGAACAGCATGAAGAGGTATGAAGAACGCAAGAAGCAGATTCAGAAGCAGCAGCCAGATGTAATCCCCAAGACCAAGGCTCAAGGTAAATACAAGCTGTATCATCCACATGTCTTTTTTAGATATTTCTTAATCTCTCAAACTTTTACAAACTAAGAAGCATATAATATAATATAAAAGATTTAACACCTTTCAAGGTAGCCTCTATATTCTACCTTAATGTTGTAATACAAGTTGCATGGAGTATGCTAAATATTTGACTACAGCAACAGATTGATGTACAGAGACAATATGACACAATGCCTGTGGGTACCGCCATCTTACTATGTACAGAAATCTCTTAAACTAGGGCCTGTATACAAAGACAAACATCAAAGTTTGCAAGTTTACTGACATGTTTCACCTTGTTTTGCTTGGTAGGAATTAGCATAGAAACTTACATTCAGGTTGTTTAGAATTGCACAGGTGTGTCACTGTGAGATATAGAGTTAGATGTTGTATATTATAATGGGTTCCATACAATCTCCACATTTGAAAAACTTGTCTGTAAAATCCTGTGCTCCTCAACTCCTACTAGCTCTTGTTTGCCATGGATATCTCAACATAATTGGTGGATTTTCAGTGTTATTGTAATATTATTGGCTCAGAGGCAGTTTTGCTATTATATTTCCACATGTATTATGTACAGCTGAAGTGTTATGAATGTAGGTTGCATTTATGTTTACTCATTTGTCCTTTATTGTAATGTTACCAGCACTACTTTGATATTCTGTATGGATAATTGAACAATACTATTATATTAGAATAATAAACTTAACCTGTTATAAACTTGTTTCTCTTAATAAGGAGATAAGTGGATATATTTTTTTGCTTTCTAGCTTTTACGTAACCGCACCTAATCATGAAGGCATATCTCCACCTTTGGTTGATGACGTATCTCTATTAGACATATTTTTGAAAACAGGAAAGATATTGTGTCAGATAATGATTCATAAGCTCAGCTCAGTGTGGTGTGGCTGATTTGAATAGAAACCACTGAGCCAGGATTAGGATTATTTCAGGTGCTTTACTAATTGTTCTGCAACGAACCTGGGCGTCTACATGTTTAAATTGAAGCATCATTGCCGGAAGGGATTATAAAAGAGGCATAAAAAAGGCCCAGGTATCTTCTCTCTTATCATTACATATTCCCACGTAGGACTGTAATTTGCGTACAGATTTTCTGAAGTACCTATCAGCTGAAGATTACTGTCACAGTACCATTTGGATTAACCACTGGTTAAACAGTAGTATTGTGTGTGTGTAGACTGACATTCCAGGTGGAGACAGACAGTTTGGGTGTAGAAAGCTACAGGTCCACTGTAAGACCATGTCAGGTAGAAAAGACATAGCTGTAGAGCCTGAATGGGCTTTGAGTGCTGTTAGACTTACAGAGGAAGGCAGAGTTGATATAGATTATGAACTGTTTGGACAACTCAGACAGGACTACATAAATGAATGGAAAAAGATAAATAAAATACATCCTGGCAGACAGCTGGAGTTACCTGAGAAACTGTACATTTATGTTAACAAAGGTGAGATATGATAACAAAATTTATCTTGTGACTGCAAAGTCTGATATGGACGATTGCAACTTTTTGTAGGTAAAGAGTACTTACAGCATGAGTGTTTTGCTTAAGTTTCTCAAAATTTGATATCGTTGTATAGAAAAATGAGCTGTAATCCCGGAACCATTTTGACAGATACTAGTTGCTATTCAATTCCCTTAAACCCAGATAAGCAGGTTTCATGCATTCCTTATTTAAAACTACTCTAAAAGCAAAAAAAAAATTAAAAAAAAAACACACACACAGTTTCCTTCCCTACTGCCTCACTACCCGCCCTTCCCCTCCATTGATATCCTTGTTATTGCAAATGTCACTTGTCTGCCTCTTAAAAATATCTGTTACAGTATGAATATGACAATTGTAGAAACTAGTCTAACTTTCCTGAATAAACTAAATTCACTAGATTTTAATGTGCACATTTCATGACTACTGGCACATCTTGTTATAGCTCTAATTGAGACATCCAAATCATATCAGTCAAAGCAAGCCCATCCCTATTTTTACATCTGAACCTAGAAGCTAGCCTTTTAAGGCTTCTATAACCTCTATTTTTATAAGGAATCCAATGTGGTTTAAAATGACAGTCATGCTCTTTTTTTTCATATAACATTCAGGTGTTGCATTTGTATGCATGACTTGATGCTAGGATAGGTAGTTTTAGTCATTTCTTTTCATTCAAAAACAAAATATAAACTGAACACGAAACCTCAAATGTTTTTTGTGAATAGCAATGCCTGGTTTCCTTTCACCTTGGAGCAGTCTTTTCTAACACAATGGGAAGTACACACTAGCTGGACAGGGACAGCTTTAGTACAGTCATGCTGTGGCTGTTTGCCTTAATATTTAACATGATAGTTACAAATTCTGTTACTGAAAATTGACAAGTGCAAACATATAAAATATTTTAAGCAAACAGTTAAAGAAATGTAAAGGGATTTTAAAAGCTGTTCCCCTACTTGAAGGTCAAATTTGTCATCTTAAAATTCAAACAGAATACTAAAATGAGAGAGATGCTGGGAAGTTGGTCAAATGTGTCAGCTTACAGGTCAAACTGTGTTGGTCTAGTGGTGGCTTATAAACATGCAAATTGGTGTGTGTGTTGTTATATGGTGTGTCAGTTAACTACATATGTACAATTTGTGTGGTCAGTTGTGACCTGCACGCACACAGGCACAGACACACAAGCAGATGATTGGCACAAACAGATTCGTCTCCATCTGCAGTTGTGCCACTTCTGTTGGGTGTTGTCTCTATATAGCCAAATGAATGCAGCAGCTTTGGCCCTCTATGTGTATAACATCTCAAAAACACAATTGCTATGTACTGCAATTATTGTTATTAGTATTGTTATTATGTTTATTTTTATTATTATCAATATTATTATTTGAAGTTTTAAAAGTATGCCTTTAAAGGATTTTAAAATTGGATAGTTCAATACATACTACTGCATCCTTTGCAGCAATGACAGGTTATATTTAGTAGTTCTTAATCATAATTGAGATCTGAGATAGACTTGATTGCCAACACTATCACTGTATTGCAGACATGCTGAAACTGACGGTCCGATCGGTCATGACTGGGGAAATTTGTCTGTACCGGTAAAAATTGGACTTGGTCGGTCCAAAAGACCAACAAGAGTTTTAAGAGCAGCAGTTTTGAATTTACAGATATCATTTGACAAACTTCACTAATTAAATTATATAAAACCCAAAGCGTTTTTCCCTTCCATTTCTAACCTATCACATTCACAAACAAATAAAGTAAGCTACCCTAATCGTACTGGTAGTATCTGTCTCAAACGGAAAGGGTGATTTTTGGTCCGACAAAAATCCATTCGGTCTGGCAAATTTTTCATTACTGCCGGTCCAAATGTCCAGCCATTCTGAAAAGTTTTCCGCATGTCTGGTAATGTAAAGTAAAGTGAATTTTCAAGTTTGTAAAGTAAACCTTTTTTTACAACAGTTATCACAAACGATTTACATTTTTGCAGACACTACTTCCATTTTCTGATCTAAGATGTGAGATATGGAGGTTCTCAATTTTAGCACACACTGCAGTAGTGTGGAACCTCCAATTTTTTTTATTTATCGGTCACTGTGTGGGCAGTGAAACCCAGTGGACAGTGAAACCAGTTGACACTTGGCTAAGCTAGGGAAAGAACTTAGGTGCCACCATGATATCTTGCGTTTGTCTGAAAATGGCACACTGACCAAGTAGCAACTTTGACTGACTTGTATTTTTAAATTAAAATATTTTTCATATTGTTTGCATTATAATTATCAATCAATTTTTTTAATCAAAGCCACTGTTAATAGTAAATCTGAAATGGGAATGTAAAATAAAGGTATCCCTGTGTCATTTTTTAACATATTGGACATATAATCTCAGAGGTGAACTATAATCACATCTTTGTATTTACAACTTGGCAAGAAATGATTTGTAATTATTGAAATAGAAACTGACTCTAAATTAGATTCCATGCTTGATTCTGCTAGAATGTTTCATGTTAAATAGATTACAGGAATGCAATAGACCTTAGTTATAATCCTTTTCTTGACATAGCTTTTTACACCATATAAGGTACAATTAATAAACTTCTCAAGATTTATGTGATAACCAACAACATCACTTGACCAGTGTCAGTAAGAGGATTGTTAAGTAATTTATTTAGAAATAACCTTACATGTGGATTTGTAAGCTTGGGTATGTCCCACACCTTGCAACACATCAAAAATATTTGTGGATTTCGTAGCCAGTTCTTACCTATCACCACAGAATGTATCAATTATTTTTATATTTCTTTGATTGGTTTATGCTGTGATTCAAAGTCTACTGCAGCAAAGCAAATTAGGAAATAAAGCAATTAAGCCTCACTGCAGAGGTTGGTGACATGCTTGGGTGATGTAGGAAATTTGAACTTCTGCCAAGGCATGAAAGGTAAAATAAACAAGTTTTTTAAAGCATTAACAACATCAGAACATTATTCCACTATAGTGTAGGTCAACAGGAGTCAGGTCTTGACTTTGTGACTTTGTTCACATATCCTATTGTAAACCTAAAACTGAGCTGCAGCAGCGCTGCATGTGAACTGAATTCCTAACAGTTACTAGCTGAACACCAAGTATTAGGTTCCGTGGCAGAAGTTCTGGAAACTTTTTAAGTTCTCAACCAGGTGGTGCCATTGTTAGACTGCAATCTATGATCTAGGCTCTGATACAAGTGCTGGTCTATGCTGGGCATGTATATTTTAGCCCTAATGACACAACAATGACTGACTCTGGTAAAACCAAGGAACCAAGACCTTATTAATTTTATGCAAAAAATTCTAATTGGATTGAATGCCTTCCATGCTCTGTATGATTCATAGGAGATTTATTTTCTGGAGGCAGATTGGGTGTACCGTTGGATTTAATTATTTATTGAAAGGCTCCGTNCCCCTGGATATTGAGCTGACGCTTTGTCTCATCTATTTTAGATGATTATCTGTGATTTGGTTGTCATTGAAAGCCATTTTATGTCTTAGTGACTTCCTCTATTTTTTAAACAGCTGAAGGGCCTGAGATAGAAGAACGTAGGCACATAATGACTTTTTAAAACATATAAATGCTCCATGCATCAGCAAAGGTTATCTTGTTGTATTTTTTTTCCTCAAAAAAGTCGTTCAGCCATTATGCTTTGTAAGGTCAGAGAAGATGAGAAAGTAAATAGGTCTGGCGTGATTTTTTTAAAATAAAGCTGAAAAGGTTGTAAAAGCAAAGTCCAATTTATGAAATAATGAAAGACAATTTTGAAAAATTAGGTGGTCAGGATATTTCCTTTATTAAAATATCGTACCCAAAATTGGATTCTTAAACAGCAATTTCCAAGCATAAGTTGAATCTTGATAAAGTGGCAGACTGGAAAGCTTATCTAGATGAAGCAATGGTTACAAGTAGGAGTGTAGAAAGCCTTGACTAGTAAGATCATACATGAGTTTGTTATGCAGAGGGCCATCCATATTACCAGCACACTAGAGCTGACAGGGAAGTAACCCAGTGAGTCTTTGATACTGTGAAATAAACTTTTTGTATACAAGAATGGTTTTGACTAGCTTTGTGAAATATAAGAATATTTAAAGGATTGTGTTACATTGTTATGTAGAGTTTAGTTTAAGAGCTGTATACATCAGATAAATACTGAAGTCAACACCATTGGTAAGTTTCGTATAGACAATATTTAAACAATGCTTTTTGGGGCATTTGGTGGTTTTAAAAGTTAGCTATAATCAGTGATGTGTGAAGAGGTACTCCTCTATGTGAAAGGAAGGTCAGTTTTCTGATGACCTGTTGTCCAGCTATATAGCCTTCTTTGAGACCTACAGGATAAACGTAGTCTTCCATAAAAGGCACAGTTCATTTAGAGGTAAAGTTGCTAAAGATGGTGCACATTTGACATTTGCAAGTAGTTATATTAGAATATTTACAACAGATAAATAAATGTGAACTTCCATTGTGTGGATAAAGGTTGAAATAATATGATTATGTAAACTATGTAATGTCCAGAGACATTAGCCAGAACAGTATGTTACAAAGACATGTTAGATTTTATTACTTACCATCTACCTTTACTTTGCATGTCAGATATTTGGCATGGCTCTTGTTCTCAGTCTTCTAATGATCTGTAATAAATGCTCACACAATCTTGTTCAAAAAAAGAAATAAATAGTAGAACATAAAGAATATTTATGAGTAAAACTGTGCAACACTCGGATTATATTAGCCTTCCATTTGGTCATGTCATGGACAGGTAAGGAAGTTTGGACTTGAGTACAGAATGTTCTAGGTGCATGACATCCATCTTGCAAGTACTTATGTCAAACAAGGACCTATTCTGGTCACCACTGCTAAAAATAACTAAAAAAGAGTTGGATATTTGGTCAGCAAACCTGAAGGAACACCTTGATGAGAAGTTTTGTGCACTCCTTTAAATGGAACACCTGGAATAGGAAACCTGTCTGACTAGTTATTCAAAGCATTATCCTTGGTTTGGGACACATTCTGAACAACACTCCTATACTTCAGAACTTTTGAGTTGGGACCTGTGCCAGTAAAAGATAACAAGAAATATGTCATTCTGGTTGTACCTTAAAAAAAGCAGAAGTGACTAGAGTTAAGATTATTCAATCGGTATTAAAAATTAACTTAGCCAAACTAACATAGCCAATAGTCTTACAATATGATTATGGTGACAGACATGATTGGAAGTAATGTTCATGTGCAGGACTCCTCATATCATTATTTTCAATAATCTGAAAGAGAGAGGGCAATATTTAACAAAATCTTTACAAAAAAATAATTAAATTAAGAAAAGAAAAAAATGCCCAGCACACCCCAGGAAACACTTGCAAGCCCCTTGAAGATGACTAAGGCAACTATGAGCATCTAAGAGGTGACCGGAAAGATGACTGGCCAGTTCACCTGTAGTTAACACCTGTGAGAAAACAGGAAAACTGACCAAAGTTATGGAAGACACTACTATTAATTTGTGCAACCAATTAATTTATTACTTAAGACATGAGTTGAATTTTTGGTAGTGACGCATAAAGGGGAACTTAATAAAATGAAAGGATATGGAAATCCTTTCATTATAAGTTGGACAGTCAGTCAGAGTAAGGCAAGGTATGTGCACCGCAGTCAATAGTAGGTGATACTGTACTGCTCTCAAGTAAGAGAAGTTTTGTAGACTGTTTATAATGTTGATTTTAAGGGAATTCATTTTTGGTTGTACTTTCAAGTTTAAACTTGCCTATCTTAGGCAATTTTGTTCTAGTTGCATCACCTTTAATTTTATTTTTATTTTCAACTTAGTATCTTAATATTTCTTCAAATTAGTTGTTACAGAGGCTATTTGTAACCTTACAATTTATTTTTTTCCTTTTGAACATGTGCACAATTTTCTTTGTATTTAAATGCACATTATAAATTTATAGCTGTTGTTAACAGTAGAAATTTTATAGTAACCATTTAAGGCATACAATCTGAATGGCAGCAACTTAAAAGAGAATGTCACTTAAATTCCATTTAATGTGCATTTATCTCTGAGTCTTTTTATCCACAAAAGTTAAATCCAGACTAGTGACAATATCCTGTGTTTAAATATATTATGTAAAATAACCTGAGATGATATCATTAGACAAGCTGCAGGTCAGAGGCAAGTTGACATGTTGAGTACTGCAAGTGAAGGTAATACAAAATAAATGTGCACAGCATGGGTAGAGGCTTCCATTAGAACCCCTTTATTTTTCATCGGTGATAATGTGTTATTATGCATTGAATGATATCAGTGATTTGGCTTAAATGATCATGATGCGTGTTTTGTTTTTTGATATGAGTAATGATAGCCTTCACATGGATTATACACCAATCATAAGTTACTTTGCCCAATTTGTAGCAGACACCTGTAGTTGATGGTTATTTAGTGTAATTTTTTATGTAAGTTATACTTCTGATTGTATGGCATGATATTATCAGATCTTGCCGTGTAAATTGTTAAGAAGCAGTTTTCAAAAAATATGTTTATGTTTAGACTAACAGGAAATTAACTGTGAGTAGTTTTGAATTATTTTTGAAAGTAGGATAATGTATTTTTGAAAATGTTATGACCTAAAAGCACAAGTCAGAAGATTTTACTTGTCTTAAAATATCATCAGTTTTAATACCTTGTAGCAAAAATGAAAATGGAATGATAATTAATACAGTAAATATGTTTTTGAAATGGTGGATGTGTAGCATTTCAACACGTTCTTCCATGCCTAAGGCAGAGGATCTTTGACCTTAAAACATTTTGTTTTAATGCATAGAAAATAGGCAGGTCTGTACTTTATGCAGAACAGTTTAACCTCAATTTACATGTAAGATTTGCATGAGTTTTATTTTTACCACAAGCGGTTCAGTTTCTGTTTTACGAACTGTATACAGGCAGAGCTGATTAATTCATAAACGAGATGGCATGCAGATTGTTGTAATTTGCTGGTTGTTTTATACACGTCTGGTTAAACAACTGAACAATACTGCCTGTTGCTTTTTGTACAGTTAAGGCTCAGAAGATGTTTAGACGCAGGAAAGTTGTTCTGGGGGTATCAAAGGTTAGTTCTGAAGGAAGTTTCTTGAAAATTCTGTGCACACATCTTCATTAAGCATGCATGTATATAAAAAATAAGGATAATGTAGGCTTGGTCTTACCATAACTATTATAATAGTGTTAAGATGAAGCTTGGGAGGAAACTTATCTGAGTCTGGGCTATATTAGGGGGTTAATTTGGTAAAAGCATGTTGTCTCTTTTAAGTGAGTTTAAAAAAGTTAAAAAATTGTTAAGGTAATGTACACCACTTTGGCACTTTAGTCTCTGTACACCTGCAGTTCTTTTCATCAACAATAGGACAACTGAGGCGAAATCATCAACTGAAACCAGTTTTGTGGTAACAGTAGGCCACAGACCATGCTATAGCCACTTGCTGTTATACAGTGGACCCATTAAGAGTGTAATATATATATATGATAGATAAGGTAGTAAAAAGTTCAGCTCCTGTGCTTTTGTTGTCAGTATTACAGAATCATATAGATGTCCAGTTTGATTTCAATGTTGAAGTGTCACTGTTGGAATAGACTTTTTCAAGTGTCTGACTCAGTGATGTATTAGAACTTAACTCAGCATCATGGTATAATTTCAGTCTTGTTAAGTATTTATGTGGGGTGAGAACTACCCTGTTAGTAGGAGGCTACAAAATGTATAATAATGCCCTATCCGTCTTATTGACCTATGAAACTTGAAAAATAGACCAGTTTAAGTAATTTAATAAACAAGTTTATTCAAAGACGAGGAGAATGAAAGAAAAAAGTGGATGACCTTTGAGCTTGTCTCAAGTGCTGAAACTGAAGGGATTAGGCAGATATTGCTATTCAAACTAGTTAGCATGGCAGTGTTGGTGCATTTTGTTATGCCATCATACATAACATGAAATAAATGTTGGCACTGTGGGCATAGGAAAGGCCTGTGGGTCCTTAGGTCATATATTCCTATTGTTCTGTGATCAAAGTGGGGAACTGGCCCAGTGTATGTAGCAGAGAGTGCCTAAAATGTCCATTATAAGCTTATAATATCTTAATAATCTGCTTCATATGTTTGGCTTGTTGTCATAAGTTACACTGAACTGTTTAGTACGTAAATGTGTTTCTGAGTAATAAATCTTACCCTGTCAAAGAGAAAGTGTGATGTGTTTTATTTTTTGCCAACTCCAACAGTATGGTTGCTGAGGCTTCCATTGGAAGTTGACTAAGGTTTGGGCACCCATGTATACATAATATCTTTTCAATTATGAAATTGAAGGAAGTGTTAAGTTGAATTGTGTAGGAATGTACCAGTAATGGACTGGACTTTTTATGTACTTGTGGTCGTTGGTATTTTCTTTGTATTTGTATATATAATGGAAATTTGTTGTTGACCATAGCTTCAAAAGTAATTTATATAGATAATTTTTGAATGGGACTTCAAGAAAAAAAAATTTTTCAATTTTAGAAAAACCCAGCAGACTACACCGCCCAGCCTGAGGAACAAGTAGAAACAAGAACCAGACCAAGCTACAACAGGAGGAGCTACGCAGGAGTAACTCCACAAAGAATTCCAGGCGAGTTTGCTGACCCACTGGATAGGTTTGCGAAATATAGGCGAAGATCTGCAAACATTGAAACATTGAGAAAAGAAGCAAATGACATAACTGAAACACCAGTAAGAGACCAAGACTTTAAATATAGCAGAAGGAAATTCCGATCTGAAGAAGATTTGCTATCAGATACTAAGGACACTACCCCAACTGCCAGTTGTTCAACTTTACATGTGCAGCATTTAGATTTGAATGAAGGCGCTTCAAGAAAATTGAAATCTGAAGAAAAACTAAATACCTCAGAGCCTGGAACAAGCATACTCATTAATACAGAAAAGGAAAGTGATTCAGAGGACAGTGAATTCATACTGAAACCTAAAGAAGCAGAATACTCAAAACCAGTTTTAAAAGAACAAATTACAATAGCAAATACATGTCAGGATTCAGAAGAGAGAAAAGAAACTGATAGCACTAATGAAAAATCTACTCCAGAAATAAAGGAATTTGTCTTGTCACACCCAGGGCAAACACCTGAAAAGATTAGTACTGCACAAAGTCAAGGAGAGGGTAATAAACCAAAACAGCAACCAATTCCAGCTCCAAGAACCAGTTTGATCTTACAGTCAAATCAAAGTGACATACATCAGGACCAAAAGCAAAGTATTACCAAGGAGACTGAATCAGAAGTTGTACCAGTCAAAATCCCTGTTGAAGAGGCACCCAAACCAAAGCCAGTTTCTACAGAACAGCAGTGGAAGAACAACAACAAGCCAACATCACCACCAAGCCAGGGGTCTGACAAAGAAGCCAGCAAGTCAAACAGTATCAGTTCTTCAGACTCAAGTAAACACCAATCTCATTTGGCATCTGCTGAACCTAGGAAAGCTCCTGTAAAACCTGATCGACCAAAGCGGAAGGCAAAACTACAAAAGCTGCAACAGGATAGTTTAGGCACAACCACTTTAGGTTCAACCTCTAGCTCCCCAGGCTCAACCTCCCCATCTCTCTCGCCTTCTCCATCTCCATTGTTCCTAGATAGTTCTAGTTCTGATCCAATGAAAACATCACATGAAGAGAAAGAACCTAAGGGTCAATCAACTGAGGCATCAGTGACAAGTAAACCCACAACTTACCTTCATATAGTATCTCCACCAAAATTTACCAGCCCTGGGAGTGCCAGCCAGGCAATATCTTGGAAATCTGTGGGCTATCTGCCCCAAACAAGTCCTACTAGAGACTTCCCTCCACCTCTTGCCCCTAATTCCACAGACACAAATGCCAAGTCATGCCAAGAAGATGAGATTATTCCACAAGTTGCAAAATCGAGGGTAGAACATCCAGTTGATATTGAAAAAGAAGTGACCAACATTGAACTTAATCCTGTAACATCTGAAGAAGAGCAAGACATGGAGAATAAAAAAGCTTGCAGAGACGAATTGGCCAATCTCCGTGCCCAGTTTTTTGCTGATATGGACTCAGTTGCTGACCAGAGCTTTGATTTTGTCCCAACGCTGGTCACTGCTACAGGAGGGGCAAGAGTTAGGTCCAGTGGGTCAGTGAGTGAGGACGAAATTCAGCCAGTATCCATAAAGCGGAAAGTTTCACCAACAGGACAGAAAGAAGAAGAGGAAGATAAACTTGGAGTGGAAGAGCACAGAATCTTACCTGTAATGCAAGAACATGATGCATCTCTCCCAAATCTCCATGATATGGAAGAAGGTGTTGAAGAGGATCAGATACAATCAGAAGTAGCTCAGAGGAGAGACATATCCCATATGGAACAGGTTGGTGACATAGTGCTACTCCCAGTGGAACATGTTGTCTTAAATGAAGCAGCACCTAGCCATGGACAGAATGGGCTGACTGAACCCCAGGAGCTTCAAGGGTACAGCTTGGATGGGAGTATTGATGATGTGAAAGAGGACTTCCCTGTTGCCAGAAGTCACAGCCCTGTCTCCATAGAAGAGGAACCCATATCTCCCATAGCTCTGGTAAAGAAAGATCCCACCATATTTATAGACAATACATTGAATTTCATTGTGAATGACAGTGGGAATGATCACAGTGATAGGTCAGTGGCTGTTGTGGAAGAAAACAAACAAGCAGGTATTGAAATGCTTGCAGAACTTGTTGCAGATGATGCCTATGACAGGGCTGTTATTCAGAATGGTGGAATTCACAGCTCTAATGGAAAAGATGATATAACGGAAGATGATGGGGTAAAGGAAGACCACATTATTAAAGAGATCAAAAGTGAACTGAAACCAGATATCAATTTCCCTGTTGAAACAGGCATACCAGTATCTGATGGCAGTGAGATTGAACAAGATGAAACTGAAGATGGGACAGCAGTGCACATCTCCAGGGAATATTTCCCAGAAAATCAGTGCAAGTCTGTCCCAGATCTAACAGAATTAGATGATCCAGAAGAAATCTGTGAGAAAACTCTCCCAGAATCTCAAGACTTTCAACAGTCTCAGCAGAAGTCAAGTGAATATTTCCCAGAAAACCAGTGCAAGTCTGTCCCAGATTTAACAGCACTTGATCAGACAAATGTTGTGCTCACTTCCACTGGGGATGTGATATCTGGACGAGATGAAGTGGAACCTGCCATGGCTGATGAATATTTCCCAGAAAACCAGTGCAAGTCTGTCCCAGATCTAACAGCACTTGATCAGACAAATGTTGTGCTCACTTCCACTGGGGATGTGATATCTGGACGAGATGAAGTTGAACCTGCCATCGCTGATGAATATTTCCCAGAAAACCAGTGCAAGTCTGTGCCGGACCTAACAGAACTTGACAGTCCACCAGTAAAAAAAATAACTGATACACCTGAGTACTTTCCTGAGAATCAGTGTAAATCTATTCCAGATTTCCAAGCAATGGACAGTTCACAGCAGCAGACAAGTGGGGATAATCAGGGAACTGATGTCCCCAAGGCAACAGGTCGGGAGGAATATTTCCCAGAAAACCAGTGCAAGTCCATTCCAGATTTGGTTGGTTTAGGTGAAATGACACAAGGAAATAATAAACCAGGTATTAATATACAAGATCCTGGCCAGAAGCCAGATGAAGTTGTCTCCCCACTGTCTCCAGTACAGCCAGCCAAGTTCACACTAGGTGGAGATGACGACAGCCCTACAATCATTCCACCTGTCATCAGTTTTGGCACCACACAAAGTAAAACTACGTCCACTCCTCCCAAGCCACCCCGTAATACGAAAGCTATAGATAAGGCCATGGAGATTGCCAGAGAGGTGGAACCTTCCCATGTTTTCCATAAAGAGGAGGTGGAAGTCACCTCTGGGGAAAATGAACTGGAGAAGGAAAGAAAGCAACTTATCTCACAAATGAAAGTGAGTATTGGAAGGTTGCCAGTCTGTTCTGTTTGTTGTGCTTCTACAAATACTGCCATTATCATATATCATTTAGTTTTTTAAAAAGAAGGTGATGTGAAGCATTATTTGCTTTTTGCTATTTGCATTCCTAAGCAACATTGTCAACGAAAGAATACTTTTTTGACAGGTCATTGAAAAGTTTTATTAGTCCAGTGGCTTATGCTGTTTGTTTTTTACACTTTATCAGGATTATTTAATCAACTTGGTGTTTTTAGATAAATTTCACACTGAGTTTACACTTGTTGGGTTTCATGATCAAAATAAGAATATGTGCCAAAGGTACACAAAACCCTTCATCATGGGGATATGACCTACATTAATTCACTTACATTAATTGGCATTAAATCAACATGATCAGTTTGATATAATACATTTGCTTATATTCTAAAAATAAGAATGAAATTTTCTTTTCTATACCACAGGTGAGGAGAAAGAAAGTTGCCACATGGAAAGGGGTTCCAGAGAGTCCCCCAATGCCAGCCACCAGTGGGAAACCACTGAACAGCATGAAGAGGTATGAAGAACGCAAGAAGCAGATTCAGAAGCAGCAGCCAGATGTAATCCCCAAGACCAAGGCTCAAGGTAAATACAAGCTGTATCATCCACATGTCTTTTTTAGATATTTCTTAATCTCTCAAACTTTTAAAAACTAAGAAGCATATAATATAATATGAAAGATTTAACACCTTTCAAAGTAGCCTCTATATTCTACCTTAATGTTGTAATACAAGTTGCATGGAGTATGCTAAATATTTGACTACAGCAACAGATTGATGTACAGAGACAATATGACACAATGCCTGTGGGTACCGCCATCTTACTATGTACAGAAATCTCTTAAACTAGGGCCTGTATACAAAGACAAACATCAAAGTTTGCAAGTTTACTGACATGTTTCACCTTGTTTTGCTTGGTAGGAATTAGCATAGAAACTTACATTCAGGTTGTTTAGAATTGCACAGGTGTGTCACTGTAAGATATAGAGTTAGATGTTGTATATTATAATGGGTTCCATACAATCTCCACATTTGAAAAACTTGTCTGTAAAATCCTGTGTTCCTCAACTCCTACTAGCTCTTGTTTGCCATGGATATCTCAACATAATTGGTGGATTTTCAGTGTTATTGTAATATTATTGGCTCAGAGGCAGTTTTGCTATTATATTTCCACATGTATTATGTACAGCTGAAGTGTTATGAATGTAGGTTGCATTTATGTTTACTCATTTGTCCTTTATTGTAATGTTACCAGCACTACTTTGATATTCTGTATGGATAATTGAACAATACTATTATATTAGAATAATAAACTTAACCTGTTATAAACTTGTTTCTCTTAATAAGGAGATAAGTGGATATATTTTTTTGCTTTCTAGCTTTTACGTAACCGCACCTAATCATGAAGGCATATCTCCACCTTTGGTTGATGACGTATCTCTATTAGACATATTTTTGAAAACAGGAAAGATATTGTGTCAGATAATGATTCATAAGCTCAGCTCAGTGTGGTGTGGCAGATTTGAATAGAAACCACTGAGCCAGGATTAGGATTATTTCAGGTGCTTTACTAATTGTTCTGCAACGAACCTGGGCGTCTACATGTTTAAATTGAAGCATCATTGCCGGAAGGGATTATAAAAGAGGCATAAAAAAGGCCCAGGTATCTTCTCTCTTATCATTACATATTCCCACGTAGGACTGTAATTTGCGTACAGATTTTCTGAAGTACCTATCACTTGAAGATTACTGTCACAGTACCATTTGGATTAACCACTGGTTAAACAGTAGTATTGTGTGTGTAGACTGACATTCCGGGTGGAGACAGACAGTTTGGGTGTAGAAAGCTACAAGTCCACTGTAAGACCATGTCAGGTAGAAAAGACATAGCTGTAGAGCCTGAATGGGCTTTGAGTGCTGTTAGACTTACAGAGGAAGGCAGGGTTGATATAGATTATGAACTGTTTGGACAACTCAGACAGGACTACATAGATGAATGGAAAAAGATAAATAAAATACATCCTGGCAGACAGTTGGAGTTACCCGAGAAACTGTACATTTATGTTAACAAAGGTGAGATATGATAACAAAATTTATCTTGTGACTGCAAAGTCTGATATGGACGATTGCAACTTTTTGTAGGTAAAGAGTACTTACAGCATGAGTGTTTTGCTTAAGTTTCTCAAAATTTGATATCGGTGTATAGAAACCTGAACTGTAATCCCGTAACCATTTTGACAGATACTAGTTGCTATTCAATTCCCTTAAACCCAGATAAGCAGGTTTCATGCATTTCTTACTTAAAACTACTCTAAAAGCCAAAAAAAAAAAACAAAAACAAAAAAAAACAAACACCCCCCCGTTTCCTTCTCTATTGCCCCCCCTACCCCCCCCCCCCCTTCCCCTCCATTGTTATCCTGGTTATTGCAAATGTCACTTGTCTGCCTCATAAAAATATCTGTTACAGTATGAATATGACAATTGTAGAAACTAGTCTAACTTTCCTGAATAAACTAAATTCACTAGATTTTAATGTGCACATTTCATGACTACTGGCACATCTTGTTATAGCTCTAATTGAGACATCCAAATCATATCAGTCAAAGCAAGCCCATCCCTATTTTTACATCTGAACCTAGAAGCCTTTTAAGGCTTCTATAAACTCAATTTTTATAAGGAATCCGATGTGGTTTAAAATGACAGTCATGCTCTTTTTTTTTTCATATAACATTCAGGTGTTGCATTTGTATGCATGACTTGATGCTAGGTTAGGTAGTTTTAGTCATTTCTTTTCATTCAAAAACAAAATATAAACTGAACACGAAACCTCAAATGTTTTTTGTGAATAGCAATGCCTGGTTTCCTTTCACCTTGGAGCAGTCTTTTCTAACACAATGGGAAGTACACACTAGCTGGACAGGGACAGCTTTAGTGCAGTCATGCTGTGGCTGTTTGCCTTAATATTTAACATGATAGTTACAAATTCTGTTACTGAAAATTGACAAGTGCAAACATATATAAAAGATTTTAAGCAAACAGTTAAAGAAATGTAAAGGGATTTTAAAAGCTGTTCCCCTACTTGAAGGTCAAAATTGTCATCTTAAAATTCAAACAGAATGCTAAAATGAGATAGATGCTGGGAAGTTGGTCAAATGTGTCAGCTTACAGGTCAAACTGTGTTGGCCTAGTGGTGGCTTATAAACATGCAAATTGGTGTGTGTGTTGTTATATGGTGTGTCAGTTAACTACATATGTACAATTTGTGTGGTCAGTTGTGACCTGCATGCACACAGGCACAGATACACAAGCAGATGATTGTCACAAACAGATTTGTCTCCATCTGCAGTTGTGCCACTTCTGTTGGGTGTTGTCTCTATATAGCCAAATGAATGCAGCAGCTTTGGCCCTCTATGTATATAACATCTCAAAAACACAATTGCTATGTACTGCAATTATTGTTATTAGTATTGTTTTTATGTTTATTTTTATTATTATCAATATTATTATTTGAAGTTTTAAAAGTATGCCTTTAAAGGATTTTAAAATTGGATAGTTCAATACATACTATTGCATCCTTTGCAGCAATGACAGGTTATATTTAGTAGTTCTTAATCATAATTGAGTTCTGAGATAGACTTGATTGCCAACACTATCACTGTATTGCAGACATGCTGAAACCGATCGGTCATGACCGGGGAAATTTGTCTGTACCGGTAAAAATTGGACTTGGTCAGTCCAAAAGACCGACAAGAGTTTTAAGAGCAGCAGTTTTGAATTTACAGATATCATTTGACAAACTTCACTAATAAAATTATATAAAACCCAAAGCATTTTTCCCTTCCATTTCTAACCTATCACATTCACAAACAAACAAAGTAAGCTACCCTAATCATACTGGTAGTATCTGTCTCAAACGGAAAGGGTGATTTTTGGTCCGACAAAAATCCATTCGGTCCGGCAAATTTTTCATTACTGCCGGTCCAAATGTCCAGCCATTCTGAAAAGTTTTCAGCATGTCTGGTATTGTAAAGTAAAGTGAATTTTCAAGTTAGTAAAGTAAACCTTTTTTTACAACAATTATCACAAACAATTTACATTGTTGCAGACACTACTTCCATTTTCTGATCTAAGATATTAGATATGGAGGTTCTCAATTTTAGCACACACTGCAGTAGTGTGGAACCTCCAATTATTTTTATTTATCGGTCACTGTGTGGGCAGTGAAACCCAGTGGACAGTGAAACCATTTGACACTTGGCTAAGCTAGGGAAGGAACTTAGGTGCCACCATGATATCTTGCGTTTGTCTGAAAATGGCACACTGACCAAGTAGCAACTTTGACTGACTTGTATTTTTAAATTTAAATATTTTTCATATTGTTTGCATTATAATTATCAATCAATTTTTTTAATCAAAGCCACTGTTAATAGTAAATCTGAAATGGGAATGTAAAATAAAGGTATCCCTGTGTCATTTTTTAATATATTGGACATATAATCTCAGAGGTGAACTATAATCACATCTTTGTATTTACAACTTGGCAAGAAATGATTTGTAATTATTGGAATAGAAACTGACTCTAAATTAGATTCCATGCTTGATTCTGTTAGAATGTTTCATGTTAAATAGATTACAGGAATGCAATAGACCTTAGTTATAATCCTTTTCTTGACATAGCTTTTTACACAATATAAGGTACAATTAATAAACTTCTCAAGATTTATGTGACCACCAACCACATCACTTGACCACAGTGTCAGTAAGAGGATTGTTAAGTAATTTATTTAGAAATAACCTTACATGTGCATTTGTAAGCTTGAGTATGTCCCACACCTTGCAACACATCAAAAATATTTGTGGATTTCGTAGCCAGTTCTAACCTATCACCACAGAATGTATCAATTATTTTTATATTTCTTTGATTGGTTTATGCTGTGATTCAAAGTCTACTGCAGCAAAGCAAATTAGGAAATAAAGCAATTAAGCCTCACTGCAGAGGTTGGTGACATGCTTGGGTGATGTAGGAAATTTGAACTTCTGCCAAGGCATGAAAGGTAAAATAAACAAGTTTTTTAAAGCATTAACAACATCAGAACATTATTCCACTATAGTGTAGGTCAACAGGAGTCAGGTCTTGACTTTGTGACTTTGTTCACATATCCTATTGTAAACCTAAAACTGAGCTGCAGCAGTGCTGCATGTGAACTGAACACCTAACAGTTACTAGCTGAACACCAAGTATTAGGTTCCGTGGCAGAAGTTCTGGAAACTTTTTAAGTTCTCAACCAGGTGGTGCCATTGCTAGACTGCAATCTATGATCTAGGCTCTGATACAAGTGCTGGTCTATGCTGGGCATGTACATTTTAGCCCTAATGACACAACATTGACCGACTCTGGTAGAACTAAGGAACCAAGACCTTATTAATTTTATGCAAAAAATTCTAATTGGATTGAATGCCTTCCATGCTCTGTATGATTCATAGGAGATTTATTTTCTGGAGGCAGATTGGGTGTACCGTTGGATTTAATTATTTATTGAAAGGCTCCATCATGTTGGCAGAGCACATACATGTATTACATGAATAAGCGAAGAGTTTATTTGAATGAGAAAGTCTGGAATGTGGAGAGGCAAATCCTCCACTTTTGTCACCTGTAGTTGTAAAGAGGTCAGCAGGTATAATGGGATGCAGGGAGAAATTACTGGCAATGTTCTGTTGATATTCTATTCATGTTTAGCCCACTTATATGGAGGCAGTCATGCTAGGTTGGTTAGCAGAGAGTGAGATCTAGGCAGCGGCGGGAGAGACCACTGACTTGTCATCCCGTGACATTAACCTCAATTACACTGGATGAAGACCATTATAGAGTTATTTAGTCAGGAAAAAAATAATAGCAGGCCCAGTTATGGATCCTGTACTGATGTTTACTGTTCATGTCTGGATGAGCTTGAGAGTAGACAGGTGAACACTGCCTATCTCCACAGGTGACAACAGTTCCCAGGTCCAGGATCCACTGTTTGTGATAGTAGTTCAGGGAGGAGATCTATATAAATGTGTGTGTCTACTGTATGAGCAACATGATGGACTTATATGATCCACCGCATTCACCAAAACTGTACTTTATGGTGGTGGATATTGATATAGATGGTGAGTTGATGATGTCAACTGATTCTTATACATAAAACATGCCATATACATATCACTGTGGCATTAGCATTATGCATTATATGTGAGGCAATTTAGGATTGGCTTTTTCTTTTGAATGTTGTTTATTTCAATGAAGTTTTAGACCAAATAAAATAAAGATGTTTTAGTATCTCACATTTATTTTATATATGTCTAATTATATTTTCAAGGTAAGTCTTCTGTCATGTGGACTGTGGTGAACTGTTTGTTTTATTATGCATTATACAGAGAAGAAATGTTGACACCTCTGGAGTTGACTTTTGCTGCTTTGTATTTTGTTTCCACAGTCATATTTTTGTTCAGCTTGTAACGTTATTTTCTATGTCAAGCCATCATATAGAAAGCCACTCATCCATGCTCCATTGTGATCTAAATACTGCAGAGCTCCTGGCAGTACATGCATCATTGCCTGCAGCAGACGCTGTGGGTTTATTTCACCTAATGTTATATTACACACTGCCTTAATTTTCTCTGAAACCTTCTATGGATGAAATTTGCCAACAATATTTGAAGATGTCATTGCCAAAAAGCTGTCCCTTGTTTATTGTTTGGGCTATCAGGTTTATTATCCAACACTGTTACTTGACAATGTGATGTATTCTTCTTATGCTGGATAAGATTTTATAAAAGTACATGATTCATTTAGTTTGATTCAATAAGATTTTCCTCATTTAAGTCCCAGTTTTTATACTAATTGCTATCTACTATGTCCACCTGTCAGAGATTAAACTCAGACTATGTTGGCATTGTATGATGAGGAGGAATTTTAACTTAATTGCAATGCTGCTGTGTCTGGAACATTGTCATCAGTCCTGCTGCTAGTGAGGTTATGTTGAATACAAGCATTCATCACTGCAGACAGGTTACATCTAGGTGAAGGCAGTTGTATTGAACAATTTCTTGCCAAGGTGAGATTTATGAAGACAATTATCATATTAAATGTGAAGTTTGATAAATTGTTGTTATTCTATTAATCTTGCATGAAATCTTAAATAAGTATTAGGTAACTCGTAATATAATAAAAGAAATTACCTTATGGTTTGGACGAAAATTTCTAATACATATATTTATTGATTCCAAAGATAAGTCTTTTTAATTTTTTTATTTCATAGCAGTGTTAGTGTGTAGGGTTATAGTGTTCACCTTATAATTAAAACTACAGTTATCACCCTAAATATACAAAATGAACACCTGTTACAATGTTAAAATCCACAGCTCTGATCTTGCAATTCTATACTGATGACATAACACGAGCATTTTTGGGGTAAAAATAGCATTTTCTTTTTTAGACTTTCCTCTTTAGCCAAGGCAGCTATCATTACCATCTCAACAGCACATAGATGGACTTTAATACTTGATTTATTTTTTTTTATTTTAAAATAAAATGATGATTGTATTTTATTCAGTTTATGTTCAAAGACACAAAACTTGCTTATTAAACAAATATACAAAAAAAGGTGTTGAAGTCCATACTTATATCAACAATCATTTCAAATTTTGCTATATTATCTTGGATAGGTAGTCTGGTACACAAATGCTACAAACTGATAATGATCTCACCTCAATTAGAAAGGGTGTAAAATTGGAGATTAAAGCTTGCATATGCTTTACCCTAAGCTCCAGTGCGATTGCGCATTAAAATTTTTAAAATGTTTTTTTTTTTTTTCAGAAATGGTAGATTTATTTATCAAATGTTTAGTTTGTGTTTAAAACTATTACAAATTTAAAAAAAAACAAAACAATTTGGTCAAATTTAGGCCAAAAAATCAGCTCCTACTTAAAATTAATTAATGATAATTCTAAATATGGTTAAGTCAATTATTCCTCATTTACAAATGACCTCAAATAGCTATTTTATAAGTTAGCTAAAGTGACCAAAAATCAGTTCACTGTTCTTTTTAATTTATGGTCCCTCTGTATGCTGTGAATCTCACAGATAAAGTTAAACCAGCTTGTTGTACATATCCATTTCATCTGCCCCTTCAGTTTTTACACTTGTAAATCTCCAATACTATTTATCTGACTCATCCTGCCATTATAGCATCCTGATTATACCTTTATATCTAGTGAATTTTATGCAGAAGAACATTACCCTGTGTCGTCTGGCCAGTAATGATGCTCAGATCACAGGGATAATCTAACTGATAGACATTTATTACTCCCCGACTCCCAACCCTGGGATTTGGAAGAGGATGAAAAGTAGTGCAAAATGAATCACAAATGATTTTATTTTTGATTTGAAAATGGGATGTCTGTACTAGCACAAACTGCACTTTGATTGTGTTTCAAATCAGCTTTAAAGCTTAAAGCCAGTATTTTAGATCAGTGTCAAACTGAATAAAATGGTGAGAAATTTTAGATTTATAGCGTAAAAATCAAGGCATTTCATTAAATGGTTTACTTCCAAAGGACTTGTTTCCTTTGGACACTTCTCAAGAAAGGTTTCTATTGACAAATATTAAATTGCCTATAAGAATCTTTGTGTAGAAGGCCTAGTGGAGATAAGAATCTTTTTTATCTTTTGACATGTCATAACCCCAGTCAGTAATTTATTGGAAGGTGTGTACCTTTATAGACTGTAAAGCTAGTTGTGCCTGTATTTACCCAAGGATTGCCGTTTAAAATAAAACATATTTGAAACTCTGGGTGTTACTGCTAGAGTTCATGTTTAATTGTACCAACTGATGTATTCCTGTGTTCACTATGGGATCATTAGATTGTAGAAAGGTCACTAAAATGGATGCAGGTTCTCTCTCTCTCTCTCTCTCTCTCTCTCTCTCTCTCTCTCTCTCTCTCTCATAGAATGTAATTACCATCTTGGGAAGTAGATTCCCTTGGGGCACCAATTTAATTATTGATGTCAAAGGTAGAAAATTAGTTCTACTTTACTGATTGAAAAATCTTTTCCAGGCATACCTGTAATCACGACAGCATTAGGTACTTCAATCAAGCAGAATACCTTCAAATGGGGGAGTAGTTTTGAAAATATATGAAAATAAGTTTGCTTCCAGATTTTGCAATCCTCATTAAGTAATTTTTTTACATTTTTCCTTAAAGTTCATCAAAAACAAACATTATATAATATTTGTTATTTATCATTCAGGAGAAGTGGAATCGCATTCAATCAGAGACCAAGACCTGACAAAAAAGCACTGGGAAGAAAAACTTGCGGAAGAAGAAGAAAAAAAAAGTTTTCGAAAGCAACACAAACATAAAAACCATGAAGGGGAGCATGACAACAGACTGAAGGAGGAATCATTCATTTCAGAGGATGGCCTCAAATACAGAGATGAGATGATCCAGGATGAGAAGAATATTAAAAGCCTTGACACAGACAATGACAAATATGCCAGTGAAAGTGCAATAGACAGGGAAATCCGTCTTGCAACAGAGCGTGAAGAACGCCTGAGAAAAGAGCGGGAAGACAGGCTCCTAGAACTGCATCTAAAGCCCACACCGCATAGTGTCCAGTCAAAACAGCCTCCAGCAAAGCAGCAGACGACATCTGCCAAATCTCCTACCAATGCTGGAGGTGACAGCTGGTCTTCCAAGCCAATGTCGTCTGCAGAAAGCTCTGTTGTACAAGACCAGCATGAGGAGAGGCATATAATGAAGAGACAGGGACTTAGTCAACCTGTGCCTGGATATGAAAAGGTGAGATTGCTATGAGAGTGTGCATATGTATATACACGATTGGTATTGAACTAATGATGATAATTATGTTGTGTATATCTATAAATCTACCATTTGCTATCATAGTTAATGAAGTCTATATTTTTAAGCAATTAATTAATGAGATATTGATATTAGTCTGGTTGTAGCTTACATTCCTTTATGATTTATGATGCTGTACTACAGGCTTGAAAATTCTCACAATAAATTTGCCATCTTTGTTAAACCATCATGTATGATATCTGGATTTCTGTATACCTTGGTTAGGTTCACTGCCTAAAAAGTGATCATTATTTTGCTATTATCTGCATTGTCTTAGGTTTGTACTTTCTCATCCACATGACAGTTCCTGTGTAATCCCTTTCAGTAAGAGAACAGCCTCTTATTGTTGCTTTTGTATCTATGGAGGCATGTAATAAAACTAGTTCATTCATTTAAAACTATTCATAATTTTTAAGACTCATTTAAAACGTAAAAATTATTTGCTTATATGTTTACATTGCACAACGTACTAGTTTTCTTGCTGATACAATGTTTGGCATTGCCTGCTTTGTCTGCAAAAGATCTGGTATGTAAACTGAACCCAGTGGAAACTGGAGAACCTGTTAGACCACTTTTGTTTTCATAATTTATTGGACTTGAGAGACAGGTGAATTCTGCCACTTCAAAAGAATTATAGTTACTATTTAAAACCCAGATGTACATGGGTGAAATAGTAAATGTCCATAAGCCAAGCACTAGTATCAACAGGGTGGAGTTGCAAGCAGATTGTAATTACATGTTGATGAAAGTAAAAGGTATTGATCAATTGTATTTTTATAATAATAATAATAATAATAATAATAATAATAATAATCTTTATTGGAAAATCGCAACCCGAAGGTTGAAGTTATACAATTATGTAATTTATTTATTTAAATGAATATGAATATTCAAGTCAAAGGAAGCCTGGTCATTTTTGCACTGGTGCACTCTGTAGACGGTCTCACCTCCCTGGGGAGGATACAGCTCGACTGCCATCTTAGGCGCTCAGAGCTAATATATCATTTCTGCACTGCCTGATATATGTTGAATAAGTTGACCATGCTTTGATTATTTGCATTATGTGATAGAAATCCAATGTGCAAATTATAAAAAATTCACTGATAAAACTGATAGAATACCCATATGAGAAAGAGATTAAATCGACAGTTTAATATTTGAAAAAAAGCTTCATTGAAAAAGGTCATATTGAGTTAAAGCTGAATAACTTTAGAAAAAAGTATTAACATGTGCGTAAAATGTTACACTTTGTCCCTTAAAGTAATCACAATAAAGTTAGTTGTCTTTTGCCTATTTTGTCAGTAATATTTTAATAAATAAGCAAAAATTATCAGCAAAGTGTAACAGAAGAATGTATACTACCACATAGTGGACAACATGTGCCCACTATAAGTTGTGCTGCTAGACACTGATGACAGACCATAAAATGTATGTACATTGTATGCCCAGCAGTTATACATTGGCGTTTTATTGATGACTGTTGACTACATTGAGCAACATTCATAATGATCCACTCTGCTTTCCATATGACATGTATGGTGACAGCTAACTTAACTTGTTACTTTGGTGCTGATGGCTAGTTTTATTCGTATGATACGAAAAATTAACAAATATAAAAAAATTGTGTTAGGTGTAAAAAAAAAAAAGGTATACAAATATACAAAATAATACAAAAATCAATTTTGCTATGTGGAAATCTAAATGAGACCAGCGTCAAATTAAATTTGATAAGTGGGCACTTAAATTCTCAATTCAATAAATTTTTATGAAAGATTGTGTATAGCAACAGCAGAACAGTAAACAGATGCCCACCTAGTTTCATTAACATTTGGTCAGGTGAGAGATTGTGTGACAGTTATATGTGGTTGGGGAAGCCAAGAGGGGTGGAAATGTAGTTACCGTTTGCTTTCAGAGAGGTTGAAGTCACTAGATGCTGCAGGTAGTTAATGAGGTAATACTGCTGCAGCTTCTAAGAACATTTAACATGGATATTGTTAAATCAATGTTTCTTGCACAGATTTGCAGATATTGATAGAGAAAAGAGTACAAGCCAGTATGATAGGTTTACTTTTAGTTATTTTAGTACCTTAAGGTTTTATCATTAGTAATGGGGGCATTTGAATTTACGTACACAGTCACAAAGATTTTATTTGATAAATGTGTTATATAATATTTTATATGTAACTTTCTTATGCAGTATTAGACATTCTGCCCATATAAATGTTATTAAAAAAGCTACAGTAAGTAGTATACTTTGTGTAGACAAATAGTTTTGAAAGTTTTAGCATAAAAATTCAAATTTAGGAACTGCAAAAAAATTTTGAGAATTTTTCAGTGTGATATACCTCTCCATCTGTGACGAGACATCCCTTAGCAGCAACTGTAGGCAGCAAGCTGTGTGTAACATATGACCAGGTAGTGCCACACCTAGACACTGGCAAAGTAACTCACACTCAGTTCTAAGGTATTGTGGATATTACATACTCAAAAAGTACAGTATGATTATCCTTCACATGAAATGCTTTGTGATTTCAGGAGCAGCAACAGAGTGAATTTGAAAGACAAGAAAAGGAGGAAGAAAGGCTGTCAGCACATGAAAGCATAGTTGAAAGAGAAATCCGTCTTCAGAGAGAGCGTGAAGAGATCATTGCTCGTGAGCGTGAGAGAGCTTACCAGCAGAAAATAGAAGAGTCAAAAAAGAAAACATCTCCTCCAACTTCTTCAGCACCACACAAGGAAAAGAGTCAGGCCGCCTCAGGTGGATCTTTAAAGCTCCATATTAGTTCTCCAGTGGCATCAACTACAAAACCAGCAGTGAAGACATCCAGCGCTCCAAGTGGTGAAACAATGGCCGAGGGAAAACATTTTGCTCACCCGGGTAGATAGTTTTGACCCTGATTGTGTTTTATTTTTGTACATTCATATGCGTGTCTACCTTAAACGTACCAATAATTATAATCATATTAAAGATTATGAGAGTTGGTACGGTAAATTACTCGATCTTTCTGTTAAAAATTGTGGAAAATTGTGAATTTTTCAAGTCATAATTTCTTAAAATTAAAATATTCTCGTTGAATGGTAGCAACAAAGGCTCCATTCACATGGAAAATCTATTTTCTAAAAAATCTAAAAATCTATTTTTGGTATCTTGCATGCGCAGTAGGAAGTTACTCCAACTTGATTTGCACTACCAATAGCCATATTACGCGTCTGTATGCTTGAGTCGTCACAACTAAACTGATGAACTTCACAGCTTAGAGATACTACTGCGCATGCGTCAAGGTATCAGAATCTCCTCCAAGCGCAGCTGAGAATTAATTACAGCTTTGGAAGTAACTCGCTCCTGCTGCCAGTAATTACGCCGCGGGGTATTCAGGACACAGACCGTGATCACAAGATACCAAAAATAGATTTTTAGAAAATAGATTTTCCATGTGAACGGAACCAAAATTAAAAAGCAGTCTACACTATAGTTCTTTTTTATGCAGTAAAAGCATCACAAATGCCATATATAAAATTTAATAGAATTTTTGTGATTATAAAAGTATGCATCTGGAAGTTTGATAATTTTTGCCCATTGAAAATATTGAGTTATTACTGTAACATTCAAGTTAAACTAATGCCATACATGTATCAAATATTGATTGTGATAATGTAAATTGAATCATCTTCTTTTGAACATAAATGTTTTTGAAAAAAATTTAAAGCACTTTGAGAATTCCATTTTACACCATTTTCAACATTCATTCTAGTTGTTTACTTATATTGTTTAACTTTTTAGGGGAGAGTCGAATTGCTCGGGAATTACGAGAGCAACGTGAAAGAGAGGAAGAAATACAGCGTCTTCGACGCCAAATGTCTGGTTCACAAGGTAAAGCCAGTGACTGTGGTGACCAAGATGAGGCTGACACCAAGTCTGTGGACGTGCCACAACAGCCTAGTGGGACTTGGCAGAAAGAGGTGAAACCATTCAAAAGGGAAGGTTATTCTTTCAGTGCCAACTCCACTGATTCAGCCCATAGCACTGGGACAAACACAAGCTACTCTGCCCTCCACGCTTCTAGTGTTCAGAATGATACTGTGACTTCCCCACGCTCTCCCAAGGTGAAGCCATTTCAAGATGTTGAACCTCAAAACTCCTACAAGTATGTCCCCCAGCCTGAAACCCCTATTGAGAGGGACATTAGGATCGCAAGAGAGCGTGAAGAGGAATTGCGAAAGACACATACTTCACCCAAGCTTCCTCTACCAGCTGAGAGGGAGGTTGTGATCATAGAAAAAGAGGTGCCTCAGAAGACCCCAGATCATTCAGATGGGCATAATGGAGTCACTTTAAGGACAAAGCCAAAAGGCAATTCCACAAATACACAAGAAAAGTTTACTTTCAGGAAATCTCAAAACTTGACAGAAAGTAAGATTCATCAAGAACTTGAGGAGATGCAGCAGAGAGAGCAAGAGCTCAAGTAAGTCTAGAAATTTTGCAAACAGGAAGTTAAATAAAAACCTGAATTAAAAAGGGAGAAAACAGTCTCTGTGTATTAAGGGTGGGTATAAATTACAGCAAGGAAAGGAACATTTTAAGAATTTTTAGGTATATATAAAAGACATCTGTGTGAATTGCAGCTTCTTGATCAGAATTGGGGATGGGTTGTGAAGAAAATTTGATGAAAAATAAATTTGGAAATGTTATAGTCCAAGCCCATTTTTCCAAAGTTTCCTAGAATTATCAAAAAAAATTCTCTAAGTAATGTTTATAAATTCAGTATGTAACCAAATGTAAACAGTAAAACATGCCCTGGTTTACAGAAGCAGATGGAATCAGTGTAGTGAACCTATGTAACATCCACACAGGTATGAGTTAGCATGCTCAGTACCACAGGTTCTTGTACACATGCTATCAGTGAAGCATTGACTATTCCCTGCATGAAGCATGTCAGCAACAGTGCCAATGAGCAGCTTGCAATATGTTCACACAAAAATGCCCTGATAAAAATTTGTCATGGTGCAGTGTCACATGTCCTCCTGTGTATACTTAGGATATGAATGACAACCTTTGTGGCACACAGAGCTGATTTTTAAATGTCTTGCTTACCTTTATGTATTGACAAGAATGTGAAGTTATTCCAGTTATCTTTGCAAATATTGGGAAAGGACCTTTTCAACTTTTATAATAAAAACCAGCATGTAGTGCAGAGGTGCACATATAATAGTATGATTCAGGAGTATGCAGGTTCTCTTGTAAATACAACATTTGCATGATACACATTGGGTGAATCTTTTCCATATGTATTTCCATTATAGAATTTTTTATTGAGGGTTTTTTCATAGTATTTTATGTATTCAGCATATTATATCAAAATGAAGCAACATTTTGAAGGTTTTTATGTCTGAAAATTGGCATGCTGGTGTTTTGCATATATCCACTACCACATTCTACAACATTGCATTACTTTCATAAAAGATTATAGAGCTGACATATTTCTCATTAAAATATGCATGTTTCCATCAACATTTTGAAGTCTTGACATTTTCTTTTAAAACAAAATGGGAGGACATAAAATTCCATGTGCTGTATCAACAAAACACTTATGGCAGTTGCTCAAGCATCCATTTCATGTACTGCATACAAATAATGAATTCTGTCTAAATCATGATTCATTGTGGAAGCCTTACATTTACTTTAGATAATTTTAATTAAAACACCAGGTCCCTTGAAATGTACAGNTTGCTTTAAGGTTTTATCATTAGTAATGGGGGCATTTGAATTTACGTACACAGTCACAAAGATTTTATTTGATAAATGTGTTATATAATATTTTATATGTAACTTTCTTATGCAGTATTAGACATTCTGCCCATATAAATGTTATTAAAAAAGCTACAATAAGTAGTATACTTTGTGTAGACAAATAGTTTTGAAAGTTGTAGCATAAAAATTCAAATTTAGGAACTGCAAAAAAATTTTGAGAATTTTTCAGTGTGATATACCTCTCCATCTGTGACGAGACATCCCTTAGCAGCAACTGTAGGCAGCAAGCTGTGTGTTGCTCTGGTAACATATGACCAGGTAGTGCCACACCTATACACTGGCAAAGTAACTCACACTCAGTTCTAAGGTATTGTGGATATTACATACTCAAAAAGTACAGTATGATTATCCTTCACATGAAATGCTTTGTGATTTCAGGAGCAGCAACAGAGTGAATTTGAAAGACAAGAAAAGGAGGAAGAAAGGCTGTCAGCGCATGAAAGCATAGTTGAAAGAGAAATCCGTCTTCAGAGAGAGCGTGAAGAGATCATTGCTCGTGAGCGTGAGAGAGCTTACCAGCAGAAAATAGAAGAGTCAAAAAAGAAAACATCTCCTCCAACTTCTTCAGCACCACACAAGGAAAAGAGTCAGGCCGCCTCAGGTGGATCTTTAAAGCTCCATATTAGTTCTCCAGTGGCATCAACTACAAAACCAGCAGTGAAGACATCCAGCGCTCCAAGTGGTGAAACAATGGCCGAGGGAAAACATTTTGCTCATCCGGGTAGATAGTTTTGACCCTGATTGTGTTTTATTTTTGTACATTTATATGCGTGTCTACCTTAAACGTACCAATAATTATAATCATTTTAAAGATTTTGAGAGTTGGTACGGTAAATTACTCGATCTTTCTGTTAAAAATTGTGTGGAAAATTGTGAATTTTTCAAGTCATAATTTCTTAAAATTAAAATATTCTCGTTGAATGGTAGCAACAAAGGCTCCATTCACATGGAAAATCTATTTTCTAAAAAATCTAAAAATCTATTTTTGGTATCTTGCATGCGCAGTAGGAAGTTACTCCAACTTGTTTGGCACTACCACTAGCCATATTACGCGTCTGTATGCATGAGTCGTCACAACTAAACTGATGAACTTCACAGCTTAGAGATACTACTCACATGCGTCAAGGTATCAGAATCTCCTCCAAGCGCAGCCGAGAATTAATTAAAGCTTTGGAAGTAACTCGCTCGCGCTGCCAGTAATTACGCCGTGGGGTATTCAGGACACAGACCGTGATCACAAGATACCGAAAATAGATTTTTAGAAAATAGATTTTCCATGTGAACGGAACCAAAATTAAAAAGCAGTCTACACTATAGTTCTTTTTTATGCAGTAAAAGCATCACAAATGCCATATATAAAATTTAATAGAATTTTTGTGATTATAAAAGTATGTATCTGGAAGTTTGATAATTTTTGCCCATTGAAAATATTGAGTTATTACTGTAACATTCAAGTTAAACTAATGGCATACATGTATCAAATATTGATTGTGATAATGTAAATTGGATCATCTTCTTTTGAACATAAATGTTTTTGAAAAAAATTTAAAGCACTTTGAGAATTCCATTTTACACCATTTTCAACATTCATTCTAGTTGTTTACTTACATTGTTTAACTTTTTAGGGGAGAGTCGAATTGCTCGGGAATTACGAGAGCAACGTGAAAGAGAGGAAGAAATACAGCGTCTTCGACGCCAAATGTCTGGTTCACAAGGTAAAGCCAGTGACTGTGGTGACCAAGATGAGGCTGACACCAAGTCTGTGGACGTGCCACAACAGCCTAGTGGGACTTGGCAGAAAGAGGTGAAACCATTCAAAAGGGAAGGTTATTCTTTCAGTGCCAACTCCACTGATTCAGCCCATAGCACTGGGACAAACACGAGCTACTCTGCCCTCCATGCTTCTAGTGTTCAGAATGATACTGTGACTTCCCCACGCTCTCCCAAGGTGAAGCCGTTTCAAGATGTTGAACCTCAAAACTCCTACAAGTATGTCCCCCAGCCTGAAACCCCTATTGAGAGGGACATTAGGATCGCAAGAGAGCGTGAAGAGGAATTGCGAAAGACACATACTTCACCCAAGCTTCCTCTACCAGCTGAGAGGGAGGTTGTGATCATAGAAAAAGAGGTGCCTCAGAAGACCCCAGATCATTCAGATGGGCATAATGGAGTCACTTTAAGGACAAAGCCGAAAGGCAATTCCACAAACACACAAGAAAAGTTTACTTTCAGGAAATCTCAGAACTTGACGGAAAGTAAGATTCATCAAGAACTTGAGGAGATGCAGCAGAGAGAGCAAGAGCTCAAGTAAGTCTAGAAATTTTGCAAACAGGAAGTTAAATAAAAACCTGAATTAAAAAGGGAGAAAACAGTCTCTGTGTATTAAGGGTGGGTATAAATTACAGCAAGGAAAGGAACATTTTATGAATTTTTAGGTATATATAAAAGACATCTGTGTGAATTGCAGCTTCTTGATCAAAATTGGGGATGGGTTGTAAAGACAATTTGATGAAAAATAAATTTGGAAATGTTATAGTCCAAGCCCATTTTTCCAAAGTTTCCTAGAATTATCAAAAAGAATTTCTCTAAGTAATGTTTATAAATTCAGTATGTTACCAAATTTAAACAGTGAAACATGCCCTGGTTTACAGAAGCAGATGGAATCAGTGTAGTGAACCTATGTAACATCCACACAGGTATGAGTTAGCATGCTCAGTACCACAGGTTCTTGTACACATGCTACCAGTGAAGCATTGACTATTCCCTGCATGAAGCATGTCAGCAACTGTGCCAATGAGCAGCTTGTAATATGTTCACACAAAAATGCCCTGATAGAAATTTGTCATGGTGCAGTGTCACATGTCCTCCTGTGTATACTTAGGATATGAATGACAACCTTTGTGGCACACAGAGCTGATTTTTAAATGTCTTGCTTACCTTTATGTATTGACAATAATGTGAAGTTATTCCAGTTATCTTTGCAAATATTGGGAAAGGACCTTTTCAACTTTTATAATAAAAACCAGCATGTAGTGCAGAGGTGCACATATAATAGTATGATTCAGGAGTATGCAGGTTCTCTTGTAAATACAACATTTGCATGATACGCATTGGGTGAATCTTTTCCATATGTATTTCCATTATAGAATTTTTTATTGAGGGTTTTTTCATAGTATTTTATGTATTCAGCATATTATATCAAAATGAAGCAACATTTTGAAGGTTTTTATGTCTGAAAATTGGCATGCTGGTGTTTTGCATATATCCACTACCACATTCTACAACATTGCATTACTTTCATAAAAGATTATAGAGCTGACATATTTCTCATTAAAATATGCATCTTCCATCAACATTTTGAAGTCTTGACATTTTCTTTTAAAACAAAATGGGAGGACATAAAATTCCATGTGCTGTATCAACAAAACACTTATGGCAGTTGCTCAAGCATCCGTTTCATGTACTGCATACAAATAATGAATTCTGTCTAAATCATGATTCATTGTGGAAGCCTTACATTTACTTTAGATAATTTTAATTAAAACACCAGGTCCCTTGAAATGTAGTGTTTACAGATTTTTGTGGTTTATGTGGAGCTGTATATTTAGCAGGCATTTTGACTATTATCAGAGAAATACTAAGAGAAGAAGAAATCTTTACCCCCTAAATATTCTCAAAGTGGCAAATAATCCATGTATGTATATGTTATTTTTCTGTACTTATCTTCCAGGAAACTGAGACAAAGTACCAAGCAAGTGACTGACGGCTCTGCTAGTAAGAAACCCATACGAGACAACCATGTAGAAAGTCCACCTGCAAAGACAGTGGTGCCACCTGCAGCTGCAGTGCAGACAGAAGCAAGTGAAGGAAGTAACACATTAAAACGGAGAAGCAGACTTGCTCAAGAATGGGAAGAAAAATTTGGAAAATCTTAGCATAACTGTCCAAGCAAATGAATTTTTTTCTGTCTGTAAACTTCAAAGCAGTTAGCATTGCATATGAAAGAGGAACAAAATTGTTTAATACATAAATTACAATTACTTCCAAAAAGTACATATAAATTATATATTTATTGTAATAGAATGTGTGTACCTGATATCTGCGACAGAACATTTTTATAGGTCTTTGTATCAGTTATACTTATCAATAGCATTATTTGAGCATGTGCTGTGTGGTGGTAGTTCTTGGTAAAGTACAGGTTTTTGTAATCAAGAGATAGTTCTTGGAATTTTGGCTCTTAAAAAAAAGAAATCCCTTGAAGTAAACATTGCAGTAGCATTTTTCATGTATAGACATAACTACAGTGCTTGAAATGGGTTATTTTGCAGATCCTAATGATGCAATTCAAATATATGAAAATAATTATAAATGTAAGACATTCACTTGTTTTCTTAACTAGTCTTGTTATCTTATTCCCTCACTATCATTACTTGAGCACTGTTATTTTGGCTTTGTATAAATGCTTTTTTAATCAAATTTACACTACTCTAGGCACAAAAAATAATAATCAATGTAGTTCATTTCATCCTTGTTCCTCCAACATGTTCACTCAGTTTGGAATTATGAAGACCAAGCAAAGTCCTCATTCTTTATTTCTGCTTAGTCACAGTACAACACCACTGTGATGTCGTTGAAAAGCATATATGCTTTGTCCAGCAAACCTAAATAATTGAATTTCAGATTTTGATACATAAAGGGTAGCGTGAAGATTGCTTTTATTAAAAAGCAATTCTTAAAAATAAAAACTCTAAGATCAGATTTAACATTTACAGTAGTTGAAGTGAAAGTTGTAACAGTTATTTGTATTAAGTATTACCTTATAAGCTATGCACCATGCCACTTCAGGTGCATGGTCATGTTATAGGGGCCTACTTATTTTTGAAAACTGTACTGGTCTATTTAACAGCTTCATGATTATATATATATATATATATATTTATGTACAAGTTTTGCGCCAGATAAATACGAAATAACTCATATATGTAGTAAAAAATGAAATATTTCATTTATTACATATAGATACTGTGGTGATAGGGTTACAATTTCACATTTTATTCCATTTAAACCAGTATTAAAGGTTTCACTGTATTGAACACAAAATGTATGCATTTAGTATATGATGGCAATAAGGTAAATTTGCAGCATCTAGGTCTAAACATAAGTGAATTTATCAATTTCCTGGTTGCAGTTTACGAACAAAGTATGTTTTATCAAATAGTAGAAATAAGAGTTTTAAACTCTAGATGGGATTCTGAAAACAGATTAGAAAGCTGCACAAGTGAAAGTGATGTTGCTAGTATTTTGCATGTCTTTTCTTTTCTCAGAGTTGAATGATTTGATTATCTAGTGACTTACTAGATATTAAATCTGCAAAAGATATTGCAGGTCTTTTACATTATGGGAGTATACTCCTCCCTCTTGCCAAAAGTATTGTAGCACTCTGGTATAAAACATATTGAGAGCAATATGTATGGAATAATCATCTTCACATTATTCATATGAATAAATTGAATACAGGAAAGTAGCTTTTCCAGACTCTGTTCTTTTGATGCCACAGTGCATCTCCCTCCCCCAGTTAAAACTCCTTTGTAGTGCACTTAGCAAAAAAAGTATTTTAAATGAATTTTTATATATTTTTTCAAACAATTTTAAATCTCTCAAATTATGACAACACAATCATAAAATGTAAAATGGATGTAGCAGTGTATGAAATGGCCGCCTGTCCGACAGCCTGAGGCTGGTACTTTTCACACCGGGTGGGTAACATTTACAAATTACCCGTCTGACAGGCTAATTTTGCAGCCTATTTTAAAGATGCATATGAAGTCGATTTTTTGCCACAAAAGCTAACCAAATGCCTGCATATAGTTTCTAGTAGTATAACTCAAAAAATTACCAAAAGGCACTGTTTAATATTCCCTGAAAAATGATATTTGAATGGATTTTTCTGCAAGCGTTCTGTGCTGTACCCGGTATATCAATGGGGCAGAAAAGTGGGTCACGAAAGTAGGTTAAATTTCTGACCAAAAATTTAAAGAAAGCAGTCTACAGCTCTTTTATGGCAGAGATTTATTAAGTTTATCCCTTGGCATGTTGATTTTATTTGAGTCATGTTAGAAACAAGTAGAAGTGGTTTATATATGTTATTGTGAATCCAAGCTCCGCTGATGCATGGTTCATATTTACCTTTAACCTTTTATTTTGTCCATTTTCACATGCAATTTCAGCAAAATATTGAATCAACTCACTGTTTTCCCCGCTTTCATAGATAAGTTTTTGCCAGCAGTTATCAGTGAATTTGCTTGTTTTTCTTGTGTAAGGGAAGAACCTTGGCACTTGAGCAAAAATGATTTTAATTTGTATTTTTTTTTTTTAATTCAAAGGACAGGTAGAATATGCATCTTAACAAAACAGCAAACCTGTCACCTTTCTATTTTGAGGTGAGATCGCTATCAATATGGGGCTTAATTTTGTCCCGAAAATTGGCAAAGTTGACCAAAATCACTATTATGACTTCACCCATGAGATGACATGTATAAATGTTAATCAATTTAGTCACTGAACACTGAAGGTTCATCTATTACCCAAAAGAATGTAAGGCAGTAAATAAGGAGTTTGGGCAAAGGGTGACAATCCTTAAGTGATAAAGATGACCCCAGCACATTGACCTATATCACTTTACTGTCACTTATATATGATCAACTAAGAAAATTGTTGAGATGGGAAAAATATCAACAGAACAACTTTAAATGTCCAGTTTGCTCCATTCCGAGATTCTGAACGTAGTAAATGATTGAATCTGACCAACTGCAATGATATGAGTTTATAACTATTTTTGAAAGAAAAAAAAGCATACCTTTTGGTATAGGACAATGTGCTAGGGTCATCTTTACCACCTAAGGATTGCTCTCACCTCAAAATAGAAAGGTGTTAAAGTGATGATTAAAGCTCTTCAGTTGCCTTAGTTATACATTGCAAGGAGAAATAAGTACGCCAATATTTTATATACTGACAGTCAATGAAAACGCATCAGAAAACTTTTACTTTTTTTACCGAGAATCGATTCAAACCATATAAACGAGTACAAATGCACTCGTTTGGTCATAAGAGAGTAGGCTGACCACTATTTCATATTTCACGTGAAAACTTATTTTCTTAATGTGCCAAAGGAACTTAAAATATTACATGATAAATAAATGATGCATTTTCATTGACTGACAGTATATTTTTGAGGTTTTTTTGTTTTAAACAAGCACATAGACAGATGCATTATTGAATAATAAGATGCAGGAAAAAGCTCACTTTCAGTATCTGGATGATAATAAAGGGTTACAATACCCTTAAAAGTAAAACTTCATTTTCATTATGTATCAAAACATGCTCTTTATTTTGGATCTGAAAACCCTATAGGCACAAGCAGGTACATGACCACTCTCAAAAGACTCAAAACATATCAATGAATTTGGTGAATCAGATGCAGATAACGCTTTTCTACACACCCATTTGCTGTGGAAATGACTGATTAAATTAACATCATAGTGAATGAATTGTACAACACCTCCAGGAACAATATCCCTGCAGAACCAGTTGACACAGCAAGCAACTACAAATGTCTCCTATTGAAAAACACCATAATTTATTTACATTTTTCTTCGCAAATGTTTAAACAATATCTTTTTAACAATTCAGCCAGCATTTCTCAATTTATTTCTGACCACTTTTTTACACTTTTCACCATAATGTTTTCCACTTGAATGTCCCAAGGCCTTTTTCATTACTATCAATTTATTTAATTGTACACATGCTGAGTAGCTGTCCTGATCTTGGTTCCTTTCTAACCAAGTAATATATAAAATATATGAACACAGTTTTCTGTATTAATAGCAATTGATAAGTAAAAGAAAGCTGACAGTTCAAAAAGTTCATTTCTAATAAACTTATTCAGCTGCATTCAGTTTGAACTTCTTACTTTTTCATTTTTGGTACATACCCACCACATGCACCAACAGAAATAAAATGTTTTTGACATAACATGCTGTAATACTGAACTTTTCATTTTATTTTCTCTTTGCAAAGGGGTTAACCAACTCTACACACTCTTTTAATCTTTGACCAAATGTAGGTCCTTCATCTTCTACAGGCAACTTGTTCTGAAGCTTTAGGTTGTAATACTCTTCCAGAATCTCCTGTGCAGTCCTGTTGTCTGGTTTACCTTGAGGTAAGGAACTCTGAAAAACAAATCCACTGCCACAATACAACAACAGTACATAAAGTGAAAATGAAAAAAGCTAAGTGTACATTCAAATGCTTCAATTATTATTTTAAAAAAACAATTTAAAGTATCTTTTGTAACAATTTCAAACTTTTTATTTTATACTACTTTGAATTGTCAATTTCATGACAAATCATATAAAGCATTTCAACCTAGAGCTGTACTCTCATAAAGTTACCTTTTTCAAATCATCTCCCATCAATTTTTCCTGAAAAAAAGCAACAGAAAAACAATAAAATGATCTAAATTGTATACCATAATGTAAATTTTTAAAAAGAAATGTACTCACAGTCTGGTAGTACTGAGGTAACACAAACAAATAGTTACAGAGTAATAAATCTTACAGGACTATAAGTCCCCACTCTAATCGTCTAGGGGGAGACAGTGGAAAGTACCATTGGGAAAAAATTTAATCATGCACCCCCAGGGGCAGCCCACACTAAAATTCCAAAAGGCCCATGTACTTTCCTGATGACAGGTCTATTAATCAACACAGTTTCAACTTACTCACTCGAACAAGGAGATAGTAGAAATTAAAAACACAAGGTAGGGCAAACAGACAGATGGACAATAGTGCATCCTATGTGCTATACTGCCTTAATTTGTGACTGTGAATACTTACTGTTATTTGTTCTGCAATTTCATACGATTTGTTTGTGTTGACATACCAGTATATACCAACAGGTGTCAGCAAATACAGAAAAGCCTGAAATGGTGTGAAATAAATACAATTATATATTGGAAAATATCAAAACATTGTAGATTGTTTGTGTGTGCATGGCAGATGACTGAAGGATGATTTCTGTGGCTGATTGTGTATGATTACAGAGCCACATAACTGGTAGATTGGTGGGGGAATCTTACCTTATTGACAGACTCTCCAAGAGACTAGGTAGCTGGTCATCATTTAAAAAAGTATGTGCACGCTGCACCTCTACCTTTCCTGCATTAGCAAGCTCAAATAGTACTTACATATCAGAAACTAGCATCAGAGGTGCTAACACTTCTGAACTTTTGTGCTAGTCAGCCCAGTCTAGATACTGGGCATGATCATGATGTCATATCATGATGCAAACCATCTATAAGCTTGAGATTTATTTGTTCAACAGCACACTTTATCTGAATGCAATATGTAAAGTTACATATGAAGTAAAAGTAAGTTTACATTCTCTGTAACCCATATAAATCACTAATTCTTACATGACTCAAAAAAGTCCACATGTTAAAGGATAAACCAAATAAATCACTCGGTCAACAAAAAATAAATAAATAAATAAATAATAATAATAATAATAATGTCATTTTTCTGAAAATACGAAACGATACCCTTTGATTTTATTAAGTTATGCTATTTGAAACTACATTGTGGCATTTGGTTAAATTTGGGGCAATGATTTGACATGTCAACTGGCTTCAAAGGTATCTGTAATATAAGAAAATTTTGATCATTTTATTTTCCACTCATAAACATTTATGTTTCTAGACTTAGAGATGACACACAGTCAGTGCCTACTGATGGTACTGGTACACTAACTTTATTGACTTCCATTTGTAAATAATATTGGAAAGTTGGTAGGAATAGAAACCAGCAAAACAATCCGCAATACCAGCAACTTTTCTTTCTGGGTAAAATAATGCTTTTGTCTTAATTTTTTAAAGCGACATCTCAAGGGAACATGTATAACACAAACCTAACCCACAACCTGGTTGAAGACCTTATAAACCTAAAGAGGGTTCCCAGCTTTTTATGGATACTAAAATCCTTGATTTTTCCTTGATGGAAGTTAAAAATTCCAGGATCATAATTTTTACCCTTTTCCCGTTTTAAACATCTTTTAAAAAGCAGCTTCGCAGACCCTAAGAAATAAACAATCCCTGTTCACACAAGCCGAGAGAGTCTGACCATTAAAATACCCCCATTTTCCCTGAATTTGTGCAACTTTTCTCCACCCCCCTGACTGGAAAAGGGGAGGGGTCACTTTCCAGTTTTCCCCTGGGTCACTTTCCTGGTAGGTTGGGGACCCTGTGTAATGAGCAGAGTTATATGCAGCTTTAGGAAAATCATTTTAGGTTTTCTTCACATTGTAAATTCACAATGCACATAACTAGGACAGACCGCACATTCTACAACCGTGTTCTAAGTGTTATTTTAAATGAACAAGATGAATACAGTGAACAGACCATTAAACCAATTACCTTTCCAACCTCAAGATGCAAACCCATTTTCTTCAATCATTGAACGAGAACGTGCAAACTTTGGTCTCCTCAGATCTTACAAAAACAGTTTGGTTTTGCGCACACAGTGTGCGCCTATCGCTTACATCATACTAATTTTCACATAGATATTTATTTGTCATTAGTTTCAACTTAGGGTTGCTTCATTTATTTTGAGTTTAATTTTTATAGCTTGAAATGACTTTATACTGGCTAATGCAACACCAAATATGGGGTCAAGTTCTTTTTTTTATTTGATGTAAGGGTCATTTACATAAGATGTCTGCCAGCAAAGCGGCTGGGGCTACGGTGCGAGCTGTCACAAGGAGAAAACCCGTGCCACCAAGAGCAGCATTAACTTTGGTAAATTGGTTTTTGTATCTTAGATTAATAAAATAAATCTGGTTTGTCTTCTTGTCCGCTATCGTTGGTGCCCGTGCGCAGAATCTGTGTCATTGGCCCACTGCCACTGGAATCTGGTTCACAACAATCATGAAACTGAGGATATAAAAATGATAATATTACTTGATAGTTAACTGTCAAATCTTTAAAAGTTGTTCTTTGGTGATCAGTATAAGACTGAATCGGTTTAAATCATGATACCAAGACCTTAGCGTTAGTGTATTCCGTCGGAAGTACTAGTATGTCAGTAAAATATTAAGGGCAAAATAGCAGCATGTTTCAAGGTCAGCCACGGTCAACTGTCACCTTAATCTATTAATAAATCTTGAGTAATTTAAACTACCTTTTGACCAAAACTGTATATGACATAACGGAAATTGGGTCAAATCAGTTGAGCATTTTTAATGAGAAATATATTGCCGTAATATATATATATATATATATATATATATATATATATATATATATATATATCTGGGGTAGCGCTAGCAATTTTTTACGCTTAGCCAAATCACCTCATTTATGTTAATTTGTTATCCAAATGACTTTAATTACAGGGGCGGATCCAGAGCTATTTTCTGACAGTCTTCCAAATTATCTTTGTTGGTCCATTCTCCATTTTTGACCGTCTTCCGACAGAAAAATATAGATACTAGTCAGTGTATACTTGAATACTTGACCGTCTTCCTGAAGACCCAGAATACGGCCTCAATCCGCCCCTGAATTAGACTAAAATTAGTCAAATCAAGCCCTTTTTGTTTAGCCAATTTAAGTCTGTTTTAGCATTTGGCTAAATCGGCGAGTGTTAGCACTACCCCAGCATATGTGTGTGTGTGTGTGTGTGTGTGTGTGTGTGTGTGTGTGTGTGCTAGTACCCTATGTTACTAACAAGAAATAAAATAGACCTTAAGAGCTTGCAAAACAAAATCTTCAGCTGCATATTTGAAATATGGATAATTGCTCTTAGAAACTACTAGTTCCCATGTAATATTATCATTGAAGAAATACAACTATTAAATACTAAATTGTACTCACAAGATTATGGTAAAGCACTGTATATAATATTTTACAGTAAACTGAGGTGATACTGTGGATGTCTTTTCAGACTCCAGCAGCAGTTCAGCGAATACAGAGCTTGGTCTCTCAGAAGCCAGGAACGGTATGTATAAGTGGAAATAAAAAAAATGTAAACTGGTTCCTAGAAGTAGACAGTGGAAGAGCTTATGTTAGAGAATGTAAAAGTGACTGAATGTAAAAGGATTACTAATTTTGACTAAAGAAAACTGTATCCATACCCAGTACATGTAGTCTTCTGTGTGTTAATTCTATCATCAATGTTGTGCTCTATTTATACAATTATAACTTGTAAATATGGTCATGGTTTAACATTTTAATATTTTGAAGTCATATACAGCAACACAGAATTGGGTCATCTGCATTGTGATATAAAAGGCCATGTTTCTGTCTTAAGAGTTAGCCTGAATGAAAGCACTGGCTAAAGATAAAAAATTAATTGTGGGATCACTCTTTTCAGTTTTTCTAGTCTGTTTTATGGGATTATATATTGGCATTTCAATGTTTATTGATTGTTATTTTTCCACCAGCGTTAGCGCTGGCGGTACACATGGTTTTAGTCCCGTCCGGTCCGTTCCGCCGGCTCCTGCGGCTCCGCCGGCCCCGCCGGCTCCGCCGCCATGTTACCGTTACCGCTTCTCCTCCTAGACGGTAAGGGCCCCCATACCCATCTCTTGGATTTAGGTCACCTATAATCTCAACTCGTTCCACGTAAAATTTGGGCTTTGTCGGTATTGGGGTCTAGGTGTGGCACTCATT